CACACATATATATATATAAGAGAGAGACTTAGCATACATCCATTTTAATGGGGTCTGTCCAGGTGTGCCATCAGTGATGCTAGCGTAAGGGTGTTGGGTAATGAAAACACTTTATCATACAAGAATTTAATTCTATAAAACAAATTAAAAACTATTCTTGGTTGAGGCTTAGTAATTATAAGCCTAATTTTACATCTGACCTAATCTGAACAATACAGATTAAATAATCACTGAAGAGAAAAATACAATGTGTGTATGCATGTGAAAAGATCAGCTATGATGCACATTTGAGGAAACTGAGTATTGGTCAAAATGTGAGCAAAAAAATGAAAATGACAATATTTGTACAAATAGTTCATTAAATCATGAAAAATTACAAAAGTGTGTGTGTGTGTGTGTGCGCGCATGTGTTCACATGTGAGAAAGATATTTTAACATTTGTAATTGCTAAAAAGCTAAGTAACTAAAAATATATGCCCAATTTCAGCATTTTTTTTCCCTTCTTTCCATTTTAGATTAATTAAATGGCAAGTGTCAGAAGACACTTGTTCAATTTTTGATAAGTTAATGGAATACTGTTGTCATTAAATACAATCAAATATGTATTTAAATGCATAAATTAATACTAATTGTCAGAATATTAATTCAGACAATATTACTACATCTACAAATTTTTATGCATTTAAGTTTGGTGGGAAAATAATGCTATGAACAAAAAAACAAAAAACAAAACATTTTGTCATAAAATCTTGTGTGAAATAGTTTTTGGCAGTTGTTATTGAAAAATATAATTCATTTGCCTTAGAAATATAAATATTAAAATTTTATACATATGAGTAATAGAAAGTACAAGTTGAAAATATACTATTAGAAAAGAAAAGAAAAAAAATCATTTTATAGTTAGCACTTATTTCCCAAGTTCATAATTACAGAATATAACCTGAAATTGAAACAGTGAAAGTTCTTTCTAGTTATGTGCGTATTAAGATCACCAAAACTATTAGCCAGAAAAATTTAATTCTATAAACAACTAAATTTGATATTCAAATACAGCAACATAGGTTTAAGTCTAATGGGAATTTACTTTTCTGTCTGAAAACACATTCAAATTGTCAGTATTTCAAGCTGACTTCTCCTTTGTATAAGTTCACTTGTACAATCAATGAAAATTACAATTTCAAATTGCTGTGGATAATTCCAGAATGGATAATGATTAAAATTGTCTTTTGCAATTTAGAAAAACTGATTTTTTATATATATATATATATATATATATATATATATGCATGCACACACACACGTAACACTGCACTTGGTTTTGCACCTATAAAAAATAGTTACTGCTGCTGTAGTTTAAGTAAAAACATTTGATAGGTTTAAAAAGAAACAACTGAATAATTTAAAATACTGAAGCAAAGTTTTAATTCTGCACTGATATTAATTAAAATTAAGGAAAAATAGTGTTATGAAACATAAAATTGTCTTTTTTGGTTCAAAGAATAAAAAAAACAAGCACCACATTTGAAATTGAAAATGAACCAATTTATAAACTGAGGGCTTAAACTGGCATGCTCAAATTTTGGAGGGAAGGGCAGTAAAAGACAGGAACTAGAAAGAATACAGGAGGAAAATTGAAATTGATCATTATTCACATTTCTTTGTCAATGAATTAACTCTGAATCTGAAACACAAAATGGCAATTTATTCAACTTCTTTGTCAATCTACAATTTAGAACATGATATAAACAAGTAGATATTAGGCTTTGTGGCTATTTTATGGTTTAATTTCATGTAATACATAAAATGGATCAAATTGATGGAACATGTCGGGAGTGGGGGTGAATAATAATAATAATAATAATAAAAACAGCTCAAACTATTATGGCTGATAAAATTTTGGCATAAATTTTGTTTTCTATGCAAATTATTTTTTTTCAAAATTTCAAATATAAAACAACCCTTTGTTGTGGTGCTTCTTGTAGTTTTTACAATTGTAAGACTGACTTCAAGAAATAGCACTTTGAGTACAGTTTAAAACTTCTTTGCCAATTTGGTAAGAGAACTCCAGCTCTGACAGCCATCAGTGTGCTGTTCTAAAATTGAGCTGAAAAGTGTGTGTATATATATATATATATATATATATATATATATATATATATATATATATATATATATGTGTGTGTGTGTGTAAAAAAAAAAAAAAATTTTTTTACATTAATACCAAAATGGTATTGTATATTTTTAATGGACAAACAATTTTAACTTTAAAACTGCTTTAAAATCTGTTGTTTCGGAACAAGCAATAAATTTTAAAGAAAATATCAAAACTTTGATTTTGTTGCGTTTCATATTTTATTTTCTATAACTTGGGATATCAGTAAAACTTACAAACAGCTTATTTTCAATATGGTAACATTCAACATTAACCACAGCAGTCAAACCTTTACACACCCACAGAATTCTATTTTCAAGAAAAGATTAAAAAATAAATAAATAAAAAATATTAATAAATTTTCAGTTTGCTATGTTTTTAGTAATTGTTTGTGTTAAAATTTTGCTTACAGCACGAGGCTTATCTCTGATCATTTTTAATATTTTGATTTTAAAAGAGTGAAGAATTTACAGCAGAGAAACCTTTTCTTCTATAAATGGAATAATCTCTTCGACATACAGGCACACAATGAAAAATATTCCAAACAAAAAATAGTCACAGCACCAAAAAATTGTGGAGTGTGTTGGGGTTGGTGACAGCAAGTAACAATTGGAGAAAGAAATTTGTAATAAAATTAGAAAGAAATAAAATAAAATTTTAGTGACCCGGTTCTCAAATCAATCAAAACAAAAAACAAGGGGAGATATTTTTCTTATACAAATAAGAATGTCAGATTTTGCAAATATTTAGTAACTGGGACTGTATATGATGCCAGAAACTAATTCAAACACCAAAATAAGAGCGAATAAAATTCCATTATGGTTTAGAGATACACATGAAAATTACTTATATTCTAAATCATCTTGAATGAGGACAGTGGAAAAAAAATACCAAAACTATATGAACTATTTTGGAATATGGGTTTTCAGTCTGCTTTGTATATTTAAAATAAAATATGTCCGAATGTATACAAATTTTGAAATGGAATTAAGTATAAATTTATCCTTTAACATTGCTAGTGGTAGGTTGTCATGGCAATGCCAAAAGATTAAAAAAAATTTTTTTTCCAGGTTATTTATATATGAAATATAATTTATGGGAAAATGTCAAAAGTACGAATACACAAGTTTTCTCCCTTTTTCTAGATTTTGTTTTTACTTATTTTATGCAAACTATGAATTTTTAAACATTCAAGTAGAGAAATTATTTAAAATTGGCAAGCTACATTTGTAATAGAGGAATAAAAAAAACAAAAAACAAAAAAAAAACTTACTTTTAAATAAATGTGTTATGGGAATGTATTATTGGTCTTGAACATGATTAAAATTATTCAAATGTAATATTTTGATTGATCTATTTTACATCTTTACACAATTTTAGAAAATTCTAACAATTCATGGTTATAGACAAATAATTGTAACGTGGACAAGAATCTTCCCTATGACTTCAGTTTGTAAGATTGAAAAAGAAAAAAAAAATCATTGCACACAAAAAACCCAGGGTAAATTTTTGAAGAAAATGGTTTTCAAATGTTTATCAGTTCTTTATAGGACCAAATCAATTAACATCAGATGATATATTGTATACAAACATAATTTAAAACTTTTCATAAATTAACAGCAGAATATGTTGAGAGCAGGTACAAAGTCTGCTTACAGCATAAGTGTTAAGAGGAGGGAGGAATAAGAAAAAAAAAAAAAGCATGCACACACACACACACACATCTTAATATCTTTTTCAGTAAAGGTGTACAATTTGAATATAAATTGAAGTATGTAGTAAGTTAGCTCTCCTTAGAAAATAGACTATAAAAGATAACAATTCAAAGAAAAATAACCATGGTTAATTATATTTTACATAAAGAGAGAATTACCAATCAGATTTAGGTGTTCATATGGAATTTGGTATAGACTTATCAGTATTGATGGAAATGATAGATTCCATACTGAAAATGTCATTTTTATTAGGTTAATATTCACCAATCTAAGACCTGTATCTTCTGAGGCAGACTATTAAAAAAAAAAAAAAAAAACTCAAACCAGGGAAAAACTATAATCCAAGAAGTAACAATTTAAAACATTATCTAACATCTTTCAAAAGGGCAGAAACAATAAAACCAAACCATTGCATTAACACACATACACACAGTATCTTAAACAATATTATTTCATAACCACCACAGAATATTATCACAAATAATTTTTTACAAATTATTTTCTAAGGAAAAATAATCTGGAGAGTTCTAAAATTGAATATGCAACAGGAAATTTCCTTGACAAAAGAGGAAAAGTAAAAACAAAAAAATTGTCAATATTGAAACGGAATCTAGATTATCAAATTGCATGTTAAGCATAAAGGGATTAAAATTGGCACACCAAAATTTTTCTTTAAAAAAAAAAAAAAAAAAAAAAAAAAGAGCAATCTGTAACTCAAGATTCCATATATATATATATATATATATATATATATATATATATATATATATATATATATATATATATACACACAAATAAATAAAAGAATCACACTTCCAATTAATAATAGTGCATTACTAGTTATTCACCAACATTACAGCCACCCACCCAAAAATCATAGTTCCAGCAGTGTTTAAATCATTTCTTTCATAAGGTTCCTCTTTTTTCTTTTAAACATCAGGACATTTTATGACCAAGTATTACAGAACCACAATGTACCATTTAAAATGCAAAGCCAATTCCTATCTTCAGGCCACAAACTATCCATACACTAAATAGGCTTTATATTATTGTTATTTAATCTGATAAAAGTGTGTTATTTTGTATGTTTTTTTTTTTTTTAATTTTCTGAAATGTCCATAGAAGAATGCACACTAATCATTCTTTTTCTCAGAGTTTGATTTAATTTCTCTTTGTCCTTCATCTGCCTTCACAACACTTCCATTCTGCTCAAGCATTTCCTGGCTGGTGCCAAACTCATTTACACGTTTTGGGTCAACACGATAAATATAGCGTTGGTAGAGGTAGATAAAAAATACAATATCTGGAAAAAAGAAAAAATATTTTTTAAATGTTAAGTCAATGTAAACTCATCATTTATATTGTTTTATGAACACTTCACAAATAATATATCCATGTAGTAACTAAATACATTACAAATGAGATACCATTAATTAATTGATATCAGTACCTTTATGCAACATCCATTATGTGACTATTATGCATATCTATTAAATATCTCAATTTTTAATTCTGCTTGACATAACTGCAGTTTTCTAAGTAATTATAAATATAATATTATAAAACAAACGTTATAAAAGCAATTTTCATTATGTCACTTGATAGAGATGAATAATAACATTTACAAATATCAAGTATTGCAAAAGTTAGATTTGAATAGGAAGCATGAATTGATTGTAAAAGTTCTTTCTACAGCTCATTGGGAATGATTTTTGTAAAGGTTATTTAATTATTCAGCTTTCTCAACTTTTTGAAAACATCTCAAAGGCAAGAACATAATAGACAAGATTGTTTTAAGCAAATTGGTTATGTGAAAAAAGGAGAATCATGTTAGAATATGAAGAGGAAATAAGGATCATTATTTGATTTTGTGGCAAGATACCATTCCCTCATATCCTAACACCCTTTTTTCATACATGGATTTTGTCTTATAAAAATAAAATAGCTAAAAAATAAATAAAATAAAACAGAAAAATAGCTGAGTAGATTTTCAAAATTGTCTTATCTGCTTTTTGCTCAGATTATTAACAAGATCTTAAAAAAAATGAACAGAATAGTTTTTAAGTTAACTTTTCCTGTTTACATTCAAGAGTAGGTTTAGGTCCAACAAGCAATGATACTGATCAAATTTGATCCTTTTTCAAGACTTATATAGTAGATGTTTATTCCCCCCCACTCTATATTCAAATGCTTTTTACCATCTGGTGTAGCTCTTATTCTTTATGGTAACATTGCAGATATGTGACACCAAGAAAGATTCTTTCATTTTCATTTTTTTGCTTTATGTTTTAAGGTTTCATTTTTTTGCTTTATGTTTTAAGGTTTCATTTTTATTTAATTTTTTTTCAGTTAATATTATAATAAGTGTGTGACTACCAAGTTGTTTTATAATGTTAGGCATTTTATTACCACTCAAAGTTTCTTGATGTCAGTACATATTGCATTACAATCCATTAGTTAGCAGGTTAACCTGCAAGATAGAATAGTGTTTGTATATCCTATGGACAAATTTGATGCTAGTCATAGGGAATGTAATTCAGCAGTGGGCATGAGAATTTATAAATGACATTGGTGTTGTGTAGTGTTTTTTTTTTTTTTAAGGGCTGGTGTTCTTAATGATGAAGGGTTTAGATGATTTTAATTTTTTGTAGTAAATCATTAATCTATATAATAAATGCAAATGGCAGTGTGTCACTGTATCACACTTTTTCAATTAAGGGGACACAATAGCTCATGTTACAGAAATTTTGGATTCCAAAGTTTTCATTACTGCGATTGTTTTCAGTAATCATTAATCTATATAATTATCATGTGTGCCTGGAGATGTGAATTGCTATATAATGGTGGCTTTATTTGTAATAGTTTTGGTGTATTTGATGTAAACGGAGTAGTGAATTGTTTTCAAAGACAGATTTGAAGAATTATTTATTTATTTGAATGTTATTCATATTAGAAATTCTTAACTAAAAATAAAACATCCCATTAAAAAAAAAGAAAAAGAAAAAAGACGGTGCATTTATATAAAAGCTCAGATATTGAAAATGATTAGAAAGAGAATTGAAAGCATTTGATTGCTAGCATATGGATAATATTTATGCTTACTGGACACAAACATACACTCTTGTATGCAAACAAGAAAACTAAGATAAGAAATCTAGTATTTTATTATTTGCTGATTAAACAAACATGAAAATACAATGAATTAGAGAAAACACATTGTGTATGACAAAAACTAGAGTAAGCTTATGAATATTTGAGCTAGTTGATTATATCAATTTTTTCTTTCAAAGTAATTTAAGAGAAATGAAGGGTAAATAACTTAAAAGTAGTGTTTGATGTAAGGAAAATACTATTCAAAGTTTCTTGAAAGAATCAAGATACACTACGGCTTCCACCTTTAGATGATCATTTACAAAGTATAGCATTTCCACAAAACAGATTTTTGTTTTTAGGTGTTTACCAAACCATTAAGTGCAATATTTCTGTATTACACTTAATGAGTAACAAATACTGAAAACCTTTTTTCTACCATAAATTTGTATAAGAAATTTACAATTACTCACCATCTCTAAAGCAACCTAATCTGTACAATGTTGGCATTTTGATGACAAATGCAAAAATATCATCAATGAATGTGTTCAGGGCTTTGTAGGTTAACATTCTCCAGGGCAGATGGGCAACAGACTTCATCTTGTAGTTAATGAACAATTGTGGAGTCATCATGATGAAACCTGAAATATTTACACATTAAGAGTAATAAACTTTTTTATTCTTTTTTGGTAAAGTCTTTCAATTATGATACATAAATATTTACAAAGGTAAGTATTAAAAGAGTAAAATGAAAGATATGAGTATATTGGAGATGCAAGAAAATTGATTACTATCAATGAAGCTCAAAATAAGCACTGAACAAATAAAAAGTGTCAATGAAAAAAAAAAAAGTTTAAAGATTTTTTTTTGTTTTTTGTTTGTTTTCAAAAATAGGTTATAGAAACCTAAATAAAAGACAATTTTTTTTTTTAAATTTTAAGAATGGTATACAAGTTTCCTTAAAGGGACATTGAGGGCCATAAATTGGTCACTTCCCCAATACATCATGAACAAATCCATTGTTTCATTTTATTGTCACAAAGCCTAGATTTTCTTTTTTACATTTTAGTCTATTTTATTTTAAGGCTTAAGCTGAAGGATAAACATAAAGAACTAAATAGACTATGTAACAATGAATAAAAGATTCAGGAATGCAGTTGTACATTGTAAACCTGATCCAATTGTTGACAGTGGGAGTGACCACTTTTCAGTCACTGAGTAAAATTATGGAAATTAAAAGAAACTCAAAGCAACACCTTAACTCTAATACAACAGACTCTTGGATGTCTGAACTTGCAAACAAATATATGATAACAGTTAAGAGTAAATCTAATAGCTTCAATGAGACTGAAAATTCAGAATAGAAAACAAAAGGAAACTTAAATGACACAGGCAAATGAGATTATCCCAAGGATTTAAAAAAAAAAAAAATAAATAAAAAATAAAAAGGATGACATTAAATTCTTGAGACAATGAAAAAGAAATAGTAAGCAATGCCAAAGAATATAAAAACAAATACTTCAAAGATGGAATGAATACATTGGAGAAGTCTTCCATGACGAAAGAAAGAAACCTACAATATACAAAACCATGGAAAGGCTTGAAATATTAAAATGCTAAAGGAAGACTGGCACTGGCACCGGCACCAAGTGGCAGAACCAGATGGATTGTAATAGATATACTATCAGTTATAAATGAATTTGGTATCAACAAGATTACAGAAATAATAAATGAAATATACAACAGTAACAACACATTGGGTGACTTTAGTAGATCCTTTATAGTGCCGCCTATGAAACCTGGTGCAAATAAATGTGAGTTCTATTGGATAATCAGTTTACTAAGCTAATATAACTAAACTTACCTGGTTTATGATGAATTCAGTACAAAGCAGAATTAGACAGTAAACAGGGCAATGACAGTGTGGTTTTGTTAAAGACACTAAAAGAAATATGAGCTTCATGATCAGAATGATATCAGAGAAAGTAAGACATATGTATGTTATAGAAAATATGCAAAAGTGTTTGATAAGGTATGACACAGATTTATTTTGAAAAGACTACAAAAAATAAATAAAAAAAATGAAAAAAAATGAAAAAAAATACACAAAATAAAAAAAGGGTGTGTCTACCCATTAGATTTATTTGACCTTCTATAGCAAGGTTATTCTGAAAGAACTAGAAGTCTACTAAGAATTATTACTGGTGAGTACAATCTTAACATAAAATATGCAAATGACACACCATGTGGAGAGTAGACACAGAAAGAAAACTGCAGGAACTCTTAGACAAGGTAGTAAGGGAAAGTGGGAAGAAAGGAAAATTAATCAGAATATATGGTCATCAACAAAAGGGACAGTCCAAAATGTGAACTACAAATAGGAGATTGTCAAAATCAAGCAAGTACAGAAATTTAATCATCTAGAAAGTGTTTTAACAGAAAACATGACACAAAACTCACAAGGTGCATTGAAATAGTGAAAGATGACTTGCCAAAACTAAAAGTATTAACAGGAAAGTTTTGCTAGAAACTGTACCAACTGTATAATATCAGCCCTTCTATATGACAGTGAAGGCTGAACAATTTCTTTACAGATAAAGAGAAGACTATGATTCTACAGAAGGATGCTGAGATAACTATGGATGGAACATGTGATTAACAAAGAACTTTTCAGAAAATGGAAACAAAAAGGACACTTAATTGGAGAGTTTAAAATTATGTGACATGAGGAAAGAGGACTTGGAGAATTTGGCTCTCAGAAGATATATTGGTGGTAAAAGGAGCAGAGATAAAGAGCAAATAACTTATGACCTAATTAGCTTGCATAAATGGATGGTAGAACTGAGAGGAATAGTAAGGGAACAAAGCACATAAAGGGAAATCACTGTTGATCTTTAGAGTGTGTTCATCCATTGTACTGTAGAATAAGAAGCAACTAAAAACTCCATATACACATTTTGCTAATACATTTTCGAACAAGAGTTATTCAACCTGGTAAGCACTATTAAAAAAAAATAAAAAACTCTCAATGTTGGGCAAAAAATCTGGTAAGGGGCTAAAACTACGTAATTTCAAATATTCCTATTAGTTCAAATTGTTTCTAAGATTTTAACATTATAAAAGTAGTTTTGCAAATATCCATTATTATTTTAAGCCCTTACAAAAACCCAGTGTAGAATGGAATGACAGAGCAGCATAAACAGGATTACTTTGGTTTTAATTAAGAATTTCAAATGAAACATTTAGACAATTTGATTTTCTTGAAACTTTTTCTATGAACAAAAGTGAATTTAGCATGAAAAACACTTTATATTCATTCCTCTACATTGATAATCTTTTTAGTTTATCAAATGTAGAACAAGTCAATAAGAATAACCAAAGTCAAATCTATTTAGAAAAATGATGCTTAAAGTAATAAAAATGTTCCAAGATATTTCAAATATTATTAATAAATAATTGCATAATATAAGTTATTTAAATGTTTAGTTTTCTTCATTTCTTAGAAAGCAGTTGTTTCAAATCTCATGTAACGTATTTACAATGTTGAATAAGTTATTAAATTTAGATTATTAGAAAATATAGGTATCTACATAATTGTCTCAAAAATTTGCAAAATGAAATTACTATATATGTATATATAAAAAATAAAAGTGTACTTACCAAATGTTAGTAAAAATCCATACAACATACTTAATGAAAATGAATACCATCCTTTATGTTCATTATATATTAATGAATAAACAGCATAGATTGCTAACAGAGGGAATAAACCCCAAGATAAATATTTGAATGCAACCTGAAATTAAAAAAAAAAAGGTAAACTTAAAAATTTTATATAGTGAGTCATTGTTAAAAAATTTTCATATTAGGTATTAAAATCACTTACATAGTATTTTTTAATGGTAATCTTTTTGAATGAAGAAGTGTCTGTGCGTGTGTGTGTGTGTATGTGCAAGATATAAATGAAGAATTCTACTCAACTGTTGCCAATTCCTTTAAAGCTGAAGAGTAATTTTTTTAATATTAAAATATTTTTTAAGTTGAACAAAAATGCTTTTAAATCTGGTAAGAAATAAGTTTTAAAATGGTAAATGAAGTACGTACCATGTCATACTTTTTGGTTGCTGACTCTATATATGTAGATTTTTCCTTAAAAACTGGCTTGGGCAAAAGTCCAAAAATCTTATGTTCTCTGTCCAACTGAAAGTAATAAAAATAAATTTCTTTAATATTTAAACAAAAATATTTTGAGTAAAAAGAAAAATTTAAATATCTTTATTTGATATTTGTAACTAGTACAATATATGCTTTTTCAAATAAATTTACAATATATGTTTTGTACAATAAAGGTAAAACTTTTATTTATAGAGCAAATAGCATTTTATTTTCATATATGAATAAGTGATTTTTTTTTTCACGGCTGCCTTTGAAGTGAAATCCATGCATATATTCCACTATGAAAATACCAAGTGAAACTACAATCTGCTGCTTGGTTCACTCCTGCTTTTTCAGCCACTATAGCCCACAGGAATCACTTCTGGCTATACCAACATGATAGTTTGGATAATAACAGACCCCCACCCACATGTCCACTCATAATAATTGTAAGTGTGCCCTCAATGGGGCTAAGTTTCTGTCTTTTGAATGAATGAGACACTGTATAGTTTCTCACAAGTTTGTCTCTTGTGATTACTGGCAGCAAATCTGCAATCCCTCCTCTCTTCAATCAGTTTAAAGTTGTTTTCTATTACTGATAAAGCAGAATGCTTAGCACATAAATTTTCTAATTCCACTCATATCATCTGGAGTATTTTTGCTTGATTTTTCCACTTAGAACAGCTCTACTATGGAATATAACTATCTTATTATTTCAGTTGATTTTTTGAAAAAAAAAAAAAAAAAAAAAGCTGAGGCAACAGCAATTTAAAGTGACAGTTTGGAAAAAATAAAACATTGTCTTATTTTGTCCAAACTGTTAGCTTGAAATTATCTTAAAAATAAATAACTGCTTTATAGAGTTTTTAAATGAATCATTATAGAAAACAATTTAAACTGAGATATGCATTGATGAAACAAGTCCCATTTAAAATGGATTTCAGCAATATAAATTTCAATGTGTCAGACCCCAGTTTTGCACAAAGTTAACATAGTATACCCTCTTTTTGATTTATTTTCACTTCAAGTTGTGTGGGTGCAGTGATATAAAACTAATTGATTATTAAAGACAAGACATTGCTCTACAAGGTGTAAATTTCATTGCATCTTTAGAAAGATTAATGTGGCTTACATACTAATTTTATCAAAATAACCTTGGAAACAAATAAAATATCAGCAAATGTAAGGAAATTAAACTACTTTGACAAGTAGTTGCAATGTAAATCAAAACAGTTTGGCATGCCTACTATTAGTCTCCTACTCCATTTTGGCAAAATACTAAAGGCTCTTATCAACTCCAAATTGGTTAATCATCTCATTTCACATGGCTTTATTCTGCTTCTCTAGGCCAATCGTCTATTTATTAATAATGGTTATTACTGAAAGTGTACTTAGCTTTAGACAAGAACAGCAAAGTTTAGAATATGGTTTTAGTATCATAGGCATTTAATATGCTGAAGAGATATGGTGTCTCTGGTGAAATTTTAAATTTGATCCAATCTTAAATAATCATGTAATGGAATATGTGCTGAATGCCCACTTTTATAGTTCCTTTCTTATTAATGTTGAGGTACTCCAGGGCATCATCCTTGTACCTATTTTGCTTATCTTCAACAACTTTCCTGATTTCATCAATTCCAAACTCACTAGTTATACCGATGACAACTATTTACTCCTGTCTTAATAGTAGGTCTGATGAAGTAAAACTGGTAGCTAATCTTGAAGATAATCTCCCCCTTTCATACTTCCAAAACTGCTCTCTTTTAGTAATCTTAGAGAACCATTCTTGCCAAAATCCATCTTTCCTGTTTGACTGTGCATATGGTCTGGTACTCCTATACATCTTGAAATTCTTGACGACAAAAAAAAAAAAAAAAAAAAAAAAAAAAAAGGGGGGGGTCTGTATTGTTATCAACCCTAAAACTGGATTCTTGATTTCAATCACTTTCCCACCACTGCAATAAGTCTTCAGTGTGTCTCTTCTACAAATATTTTCATGGCAATTGTTCTGATTAGCTTTCCTTTTTGTTACCTTGATTACATGAAATTAAGTGTACCACTAGATTGATAGCTAGGCCCCATCATTTTACTATTGAAATAGCTAGATTCAACTAAGTTCTATTCTAATTTTTTTTTTTGCAAGTAGAACACTTCCAGTTTCTTGCTTCCCTATTGCCTACAATCTTCAAAATCTTAAGTGCAACATCAATCGCCATCCTCCGTTTTGCTGAATCCTGTTTCATGGCCCTTTCTCCTCACTAACGTTTTTCATTTTCTTTCACTCATCAACTCCTTGCATGAAGTGAAATAAAGAATAAATAAATATTGGTTTTTGATTCAAATCAGACTTCACATACCCATAACTTGCTCTGAATCATTAAAGATTTTGCCATTAAACTTTCAGTGCTATTTGTTTCCATTATCTCCCCACCACCACCACACACACACACAAAAAAAAACAAAAAAAAAAAACTTCTTACTGATATATCCAAAACTTTCTGGATCTTCCAAATCTCTATTGCCAATCCAATGATCACACTTATCTTGACTATCATATTTGTCTCATTGTCCAGAACATAAAGAACAACCACAACTGACTGGAATACATTGAAGAACACTGAACGAACAGAGAGGCCTTCCAATGATTTGCGACTCTTCCAAAATTGGATATCTGTAAGATAGTGAAATTTGATTAAAATATTACAGAAGAGAAACAAGTCCGTGAGAGAAAGTTTAATTGATAAATGAAAATGTTAAAAAATTAACATAATCTAACGTACCATTTTTGAATGCCAGGAATTCAAATACACTGTGAACAATGGATACAATCACAGTAATAGCCAAAAGATATGGATTTGTTTCTAAGAAGGCAATCTGAAATAATAATTCATCATGATTAAAAGTGCATCATTTAATAAAAGTTCCATAATTATTTATATATAATACACACACACACTAAATTTGAACCATAACCATAAAATTCTTTGGAGAAAAAACAAAAACAAAAACTCTTGGGTATAATACAGACTAACCCTTTATAATTGGTAGCAGCTACACTTAATCTAAGTTTAACATTTGTTACACTTTTTATTTGGTTTGAATTAACTAAAATAAAAATTTATATAGTTTACATTCATAAGATAAAGAACAAATAGGAAGTGTTTATAAATCTAATATGTTTCACTTTTATTAAATCTTCAGAGATAAAAAAAAAATTCTAGTATTTCTGCAAATGCACATGAAGCCTGCTTAACCAATAAAAAAAAAAAAAAAAAAAAAAAAAACGAAACAAAAAAATGAAAATTTTCTCCATTCTCTGATGAAGCTTCAATAAAAGCAAAAACAAACATTTCATATTTGGTGTTTACCTATCTTTTGAAATACAAAGATTTAGGCAGTATTTAGAGCAAATGCAAAGATACATTCACACAAAAATAGGCTCACACTAATAAATAAATATCTATCTCTCATATTATATTATATATATATATATATATATATTAGTAGCGGCCATAATATAAGGAACAGAAACAACAAAGACATAAATATGCGTAAGGCATGATTAGCAATGAAATTTTTACCAAATAAAGATTAGGGTGTAATGCATAAATATTATACAAAGTTACAAAAATTTACATAAGTTTTTTTTAAAATAAAGATTAAATGGAACAAAGAAAATAAGCTACTGGACAAAAGTTAAGGAATGATCTTGTTAATACTTGATTGTGAACAAAATATCAACAATTTAATATTTGGTAAACGTCCCCTTATTTTCAATGACTTCTCTGCATCGTCGACCACATGATCTAATTAATTTCTTGCAAAAATCAGCAGTAATTCCCTCCCATTTGTCTTTCAATAACTCCCATAGGTGATCCTGGTTTTTCGGGTTTCTTTTCCGAGCCTTTCTCCAATTATCTTCCAAACATTTTCTATTGGATTCAGGTCGGGGCTGCCCACTTCATTAGAGCAATTCCTTCTTCAAATAAAGCCATAACCTTCTGAGCCTTGCAGCAAAGTGCATTGTCCTGCATGAAAATAAGAGATTCATAAAGATTATGGTGTAATCTTGGTACAACATGCTGCAGAAGAAGCCTTTTGTAAATCTCAGCATTGATATTGCCATATACGCAGATGATAGGGCCAACTCCTGCAGATGAAATCATTCCCCACACCATCACACTGCCACCACCAAACCTAACAGTTTTCTTGACACATTGAGAAGACAGTCTTTCACCTGTTTTACGGCGTACGTAAGTTTTGCCCGCAGAATCAAATATAGTAAACTTGGACTCGTCACTGAAATGAACTGTATCCCATTGTGCGTCAGTCCAAACAACATGTTCTCTTGCATACTCCAGGCATGCCCTTTGGTTTCGCTTTGAAATGAGAGGCTTTGAAGCTGGAATACGGGCATGCAATCCTCCATTTTTTAACCTGCGAGCAAATGTTTTCCTTGAGATCTTATCTGTCGCTTCATTAAATTTACGGGCAATTGATGTAGCAGTTTCAAAACGTTTTTTGTAGATATTCTTACAATTCTTCGATCTTCTCTTTGCAATGTTTTTGGAGGTCTGCCAGTTTTTGGTTTTGCATCTAACGTTTTATCGGTTTTATAGCTGCTAATTATACAATGAATGACACTTTTAGACCTATGAACAATATCAGAAATTTCTGAAATTGACTTTTTTTCTTGATAGCTAGTGATAATGAGTTTTTTTTCTTCAAAAGAGTGTTTTGCATGTAGAATTTGCCATATTGCTTAAAAATAAAGTCCTTATGATAAATGAACTTTTTTGAAAAGCTCCATCGAGTTTTTTAACAATGTAAATTAAAAGTTTATGCAAGTTATTAACATCGTTCCTTAATTTTTGCCCAGTAGCTTATTTCCTTTGTTCCATTTAATCTTTATTTAAAAAAAAAAAAAAAAAAAAAAAAAAACATTATGTAAATTTTTGTAACTTTGTATAATATTTATGCATTACACCCTAATCTTTATTTGGTAAAAATTTCATTGCTAGTCATGCAATACTTTTTAAGTAATACACATATTTATGTCTTTGTTGTTTCCATTCCTTATATTATGGCCGCTACTGTATATAGAACCCCCATCCCTACTTTTGTATGATATACACAAATATATCTTTAAAAATCCAGATTACAAGATCTGGAAAAGAATAGGTAGATTTATCATAAAAACATCCATTGTTATAAATTGCTAATTTAGTAACTTTAACATAAGGTTCCAAATCCAGAGTGGGAATGTGTGTACATATATCAAAAGTAAAGATACTGCAATTTATAATATTAGGAAAAAAAAAAGAAAAAAGAAAAGTTATTGTGTGTGTGTGTGTGTGTGTGTGTATATATATATATATATATATAAAATAAAAACTTTTGCCAAGGAAAGAAATAAGATATTACCTTAACAGAATCTTGCTCTTCCTCTCCTTCTTCAACCAAATTCATTCCCAAAACAGAATACCATTTGTTTCTCATGTTTTGTGCTGCATATAACTGCCATCGGAACAATGAAATGGGACTGTATGTCAGAGTCAAATTCAGAATTCTTGAAAAAGAAAAGAAAGAAATTGACAAAATAAGGTTTCTAAAATGCATATCCCCCCGCCCAAAAAAACTTATCTAGAAAATCAAAAATCTTTCCACGAATTTAACAATATTTTACTGAAAAATGCATCTGTCTTGAGTAATTCATAGCTCATCACTAACATATCCATGAGCAATAGATAGAATTAAGTTAATATTTACAACTAGCAAGGTTTTTGAAACTTTAATTAAATCAGCATAGTTTCAGATATTTGTTTCATAAAGGAATAAGTTTTTCAGGTAAAAAACATTTTTGCTTCATTTCCATGTCTAAAAAGTAATTAAACTTGAGGAAAATAAAATTGCAGCATCCTGAATGCATATTTCAATTTAATCAAAAATTAAACATAAGTAATATAGCTGGATAACAATATACAAATTAATATATGTATAGATTCCCAAATAACAGGACTCAGACCCCATATTATTATCCCGCATATAATCTCTGGGTATTAATTCAGGCATATACTCTAGCATATATGTGATTGTACAGATGGTAAAAAGCATCCGGTAATACATTATTCCTTGTCCTTTGCACATTTTGATACAATAGTTGAGGTAGGCCAACTGAACAAGTCAAGCATTGTCCAATCATGTTCAATATGTGTTTAATGGGGATCAGATCTGTTGTAATCCAGGAAAGTTGCTAACACATCTTACAGAGCATGTTGAGTGAATGATCATTATTCTGCTGCAAAATTATATTGTGCCTTCCTGTTGCCAGAATGCCAGTAGAACAAGTTGAGCAATATTCTGGATATGCTGTTCAATATTTCCTCCACAAAAACTGTAAATCAATCTCCATATAAAACTTCAATATTTTATTCTGTATCTTGTTAAGTAAAGCTTTCTTCTGTACAATAGAATTGTCAAGGTTCATAGTGGCTCATCTTTTTCCGATTTTTTTTTTTTTTTCTTAGATTCATTTTTCTTCCTCCTTGCTTCTCCCCAAGCTGTTTGATAGGCCTTCCAGGAGCTTCCAACCACTCCTTCCCACCCCCATTTCCAGGGGGATAGGAATTTTCCTTATTCCTCCTTCATGATGAATGCCTTCATATACCAACCTTTGGGCAAATATGGTGGATTCTTTCATGTTGATTTGAAGTACTCCATTTATAGAAAAGCTAAATCCTACAATGTGTGCATTTCCACGAAGAAAAGAAATTCTTAGTTCTAGATTGGAATATATATGGAGAAGCAAAAAAAAAAAAAAAAAAAAAAAACTTCAGTTAAAAATCATCATTGCAATCATTAGTTGTTATACTGAATGTTTTGCATCATTGATAAAATCTTTGTTAGTTACTACACTTATGTCTTATTTTTATGCTTTGGTTGCACAAAATGAGCCAATCTTGAATGTCTAGAAAATCTTTTCCTTGGGTTTTCAGGTTTGACATGAAATATAAGTGGGTGAAAATAAAAGAGCCACTGCCATTCTCTATTTAAGTGGACACTTCTCCAATTTCTTAAGACAAATTAAAATTACCACCTTCTGATATTCTCTTATTCAATAGTGAACAAATTCTTCTCATCTTTAAAATAAAAATCCATGAGCTGAAATGAAGTTGAATTTTCCTTAAAGACATCAAGTTTGATAAACTACTCCATAATTTTAAAATTTCAATTTTCCATAAAAGAAAACAACCAATGGCCTTTGCTGTACTTAATGAAAAAGTCACAATATGCCATAAAAATTTTGTGATGAAGAGGGGACCACTTATCTTTCGGAAGAAATCTTTTCTTTTTGTATTTTGATTAAAAGCTTCAGCTTTATCAGTCAACTCAAGAAATATGGCTACAACTTTTCCATTTTCCAGCCATCTATGCCAAAGTTTTAAGGGAAATAACATGGAATTATCATCATGCAAAACTTGTCGTATGCAGTCAGGTAGTTGGATTTTCACACTGGTGTCTTCATTTTTTTTTTTTTAAAAATTCCAACCTTCCAATTGTCTTCACATCCCATTCTGTGCACTGTTGGAGGGCTTTAAATATACCACATACAATGTGAAGGCCACAACTCCCAACTACAATTAATGATCGTGCAATAGAGTTCTCTGGTAAACAATACTTTTCAAGTTCTTCACAGAAGACATACAGACCTCTAGTGACTTTGTGGGCCTTCTTATAACCAGTCAACTCATTCACCCTTGGATGTCCCATAAATGCTTAACTAAGATGAAATCCTTTGGCAACTTCATCAAAATAGATAATCTATTAAACAAAATATCAAAATTTCAATATTAAAACAAAATTTATTCATAATTTGTTACTTAAAGAAACATGCTAAAGCATAATAAATTATGTAGCTCAGCTTTTTTTCAGGAAACATTACCTGGAATAATTCTGACATATCTCAAACTCTTCAGATTGTGGTGTTTGTAAACATACATAAAGAGCCTCGCTCACAATATCTCACTTTTAACAACTTTAGATTTCTTCTTAACAGCTAGAATCATGAATAGGTTTGAATAATTTGAGTTTGATTGAACTATCTGCAAGGTTATCAGTACCTGGTGATGATGATGATGATGATGATGAACTCCACTTGATAAGAGGGTGCAGATTGGCAGTAGATAATGAATTTCTAACAGAAAAAAAATCTGAATGCCATTTGCTTCTTTTATTTTTTTTTGTTGTGCTTATATAGGTTTTCTGGTGAATGATCTTTCATGTGCAATTTCACTGCACTAATTAATAGCCACAGTTATAAATTTTGCACTGGAAATAGCCAATGTCATCTGCAGTGCGAGCAGCCATACCTGAATAAAAAGGAATTGTTTTCCTAATCTGTATATTTTGCCTTCATTGGAATTCTCATTATCAAAAGCAAAGGAAAGAAATTAAATGATGGTCAGTCAAAAATGTAACCAGTTCTATAGTAGATTATATTATTTACATTTTTTTTTCAAAATGGCTTCAAACACATTGAAGAGTAATTTGGAAATTCAAACAAGACAACATATTGAAAATATATTGTGACCCCCACCCCGCCCCAGAGAAAAATCCCCAACAATCACAGATTTAAAAGGTTTTCCAGAGCACGCACATATTGTATCCAGGTAATAAAATAAAAATAAAGAAAAGTAATCATTACCTTTTCAGGGTGTTGCAAGTTTATTTTTATCAATGTACAAATATTTTTTACATTAATTTTAAATGTATTTTTAAGAGACCTGAGCAGACACTACTTACCGTGTAGTTTCATTAATTGGCATATAATCACTGTTCAGATTCCAATAATCATTGAAGAAAATAACAGGATAGTAATTATTTGTGCCAGGCTGGAAAATAACATCTGCAATAGAAATTAAAGAGCAAATATACATGCTACAGTCCAAAAGTTTGAGGCCACATCCAGAATTAGATGAACTGGAGTGAAAAAAAAAAAAAAAAAAAAAAAAAAGCTCTTAATCATTGATGAAAGAATGGAATCATATTTTGAGAAAGTTTGCAACAAATGCCAAAAAAATTATGCTACAGTAATCTAGGCTAAAGGAGGATATTTTGAGGAGAGCAAAATTTAAGCATAAAATGCTTTTTTTCTTTTGTCATAATAAAATTTCTAAAAAAAAAAAAAAAAAAAAAAAAAAATCAGGTCTCACTTTTTTGTAACTCTATAATAATTTTGTCTTATTTAAAGTACAAAACTACTTTTTGGACCAATTTAAAAAATTGGCAAGGGTGGCTTCAAAATTTTGAACTGCAGTGTGTTTTGTGTGTGTTATATATCACACACAATCGAAAAGTAAAATTTAGCACAAATTATTCAAATTCATTGTTCTTTTAGCAGGCTTGATTAAAGTGCTGAAGATTTAGTACTGATTATGACAAATAATTTGTAACTAATCATCCAATTAAAGTAAAACATGTTTATCCTTAGAGTATGTGAAAACCAATTCATACAACATGAAACATCATACAATATATGGGGGTTGGGGATAGTGAACAGATCAAGCATCAAAGGAATGACCTCAAGCCATGTAATGTTCCATGCTATTTCACATATTTGTTGTGAAGTTCAACAAGTGTGTGCACCTCACTTATGTACAATCTATGGTTGCACTTGCTAACCAGATAAGTAGTTTAATTGGAAAAAACAAAAAGTTAAATTTGAGAATTTAAATTCACCATGCCTAAAATAAATCATTATTCTTAAGTTACAGATGAAATCTCTGTTGCAATGATATCTGAGTATGAAAACCAATTACTGATCAATTAGCAAATACTGATAGGATATGCCCGTTAATAATTGATTGACGCAACCCTAGTTTGGTTAGTGAAATACTGATTTTATTTTGAAAGGTGGATCTGGATGGAAAATTTTCAGTACCACATTGTTTAATTATTAATTTTTTTGTTTTCAAATCAGTACTTTCATAAATGAATTAATATAAGTACTGATTTGAAAAGAGCAATAATCTATCCATTAAATAATGATCCTGGTCTCAAGAAGGTTTTGGGGAATTTAAATATCATTTACCACTAATGCAAGATATCTTAATAATACCTTCCATCACCAGATTTTTCTCCATTAAATTTGAAAATGCAAGATCAACTCAGAAACAGTCTACCTGATCATGGATCACTTTCTACTGTAGATCTATCAAAGTTGATATGATTACAATTTATAAAATTTATTTCAAGTGGAAGACAAATAATCAGATATTTAAATTAACTTACATTCATCGAGTGGAGGAGGTACATGACCTTTGACCCAAGAAGAATGATCATCCAAAAGGTTAATTGTTAGGTTTGGATGCCAGTGAGAAAGTATCTCATAAGAGGAAGAATTTGCTTTCTGTAAAATACAAGAAATTTATTGATATAAATATAATATAAAAAATTTATTGGATAAAATTAATTGAATGTACCATTTTTTTTTTTACTAAAATCATTATGAATCATGTGTATTTCTGCTCTATTTTTATAGGATATAAGGAAATAAATGCGATGGGTGGTGGGGGAGGTCTTTGAGAAATGAACATTGTTACATAATGGCATGTTACTTACTATTTGTTGATAAGATAAGGGACAACTATGAAACAAATTTAACATCTTTCACTTTTATTTAAGCTTCATCAGAAAATGACATGTGGAGAAAAGAAAATTCTAGTACTTTTTGTTTATTTTTGTGTTTAGTTAAGCAGACCTCATGTCTTATCAAGCAATGTTGTGTACAATTCTTGTCTATCACAATTCTAGTTGGTTTATCAGGATTTAGTTGATAATAGTATGCATTTGAGCATCTAGTGCTGATTTATTTATATCTGGTAGCATCTGTATGCTGGATGGTGTGATGCTTTGTGTGTGAGGGTAAAAGAATTTAGGCTTCATTGGTTGTGATTGTAGATAGATTCTTCAAGTATGGATTTTATAAAAGTTAGTGATATAATAAAGTGTGTTTGATATGTTTACTGATGGTAAAATATTTATCAGGATTCCTTCTAAGTATTTTCTACATAATAAATTATGTTCTTTTCTAATTAGGGTGGCATTTACTATTCATTACAAACAATCAAGGGCAGTGCTAAAAAAAAAAAAAAAAAAAAAAAGATATTTTAGGCTTGGTCAGATTTTTGTAAGTCAGCAAAGATGAGAATTCTTCAGTATTCACCGTATCTGCCAATAATCATTGTAAAAGATTAATACCTACCTTAATAATTTTCATATATACATGATTAAAATATTAGCATGTCAAATTCATATACTTTAGATAATTCAAGTGTTTACAGAGATGAATGTTATTTGAATAAATCAGTTAAGATAAAAGTTCAAGTATACCATTCTAAACCATTAACAACTTTCAAATTTATAATAAAAATATTTTATGTGCCATGTCACTTTAACACAGCTCTCCAGTTTCGTATCCTTTGTTAAGTAATATTTGTCCCTTTAAGATCTTTTTCAGTCCAGGCTCTGCATTCATTTACATAAACTCATTATTTGCTGTTATACTGCCCATCTTATCTTCAATATCTCCCTTGAGTGTTAAATTCTCCAAGTCATCCTTTCTCATTATGTTCCAGAAATTTCAACTGTGCTAAGCATAAAGGTCCATTTTGTTTCCATAAAACTTCCTAATTGCTTACACACATCCTTCTGTTGAAACCATATATGTTGTCTCAATTCTCCTCTTCACCAATAAGGAGATTGTCTAGCATTCACTGCCATATAGAAGGATGGATATTATGTAGCAGTTAAGTATTCTATTCTTTATTTCTAATGAAATCTTCCAGCCCCTTGAATCTTTGTCTAACCTCTGTAAGAGTATCCTTCATTATTCCAATGCAGATTGGGATTTCTGTTTCAAATTTTCTGGTTTGACACTGCTCAGATAATTAAGATTCTGTACCTGCTTGATTCTGAAGTCCCCAATTTGTAACTCACAACTTGGGGTTGTCTCTTTTGTTGCTAACTACTCGTCTTACAGTTAATAGAGAATCTATTTCATTTCTGCTTTATAAATTAAGCAATGAAAAATAAAGTGTTGAAAAAAAAAAAAAAAAAAAAAAAAAAATAGGACAGCCTGACCTATTTTTGACAAAGAAAATGTGTAAACTTCAATTTAAAGAATCCATAGTGTGGTATTAATATAATTTTTAGGATGGGATAATTTAGGAAAAAAGTAATTTTACAATTGGAAATAGAAGTAAAATGTAAAGATAAAAAGCAAAGAAATTACATTTGTTGAACCAAGATTTCTACCCCTCAAAATAATTTAGGACTATTTGTGCTAACAATTATTTTTGAATGACAATGATTAAAGCTCAGAAATTTTTAACATTTATCAATTAAGATATATAACAAATACATAATTATAGAAAGTCAGTTTTGTTTGGGTGGAAAAATATAATTTTTAATAAACTATGTTTAGATAAAAGTTATTTAATTGATAGTAATCAAATTTTAATACATTGTGCGAGCAACACATTTTTCATAAAAATGCATTTTATTAAAAACTTTTACACAAAGAAAGGTTATAGTTGATTACGTTTTACATTATAAATTAAAACATGATTTATGAAGATATACAAAATAAATTAAAATATGACTTAGTTAAAAGAAATAATTTAATAAGGCCCACAAGCTAGAGTTATTACTTTTATTTCATAATTTTCCAGGTTACCAAAGTAGTACTGGCTACTGTCAGTGAGTGCTAAATCTTTCCTTATAAGGAAACAACTAATATCACCATTACCAAATACCTAACTTCAGATAATTTTTGTATATTTTTCATTAAATAAAACACACACAAGCTAATTCACTTTGGTAAGGTAATGACTGGTTACATTTTTTTTAGTGGGCAAACCTGCTAGAGTGACTATCTAACTCCTGTTGCTCAGGCACATTCACATTGAAAACACACACAGTCCACCTGTGCTTTGTACCATAACTTTGCTGAGCAGACACAGCCAAAATGTGCCCAGATTATATATATATATATATATATATATATATATATATATATATATATATATATATATGTGTGTGTGTGTGTGTGTGTATATACATGTGTATTCCTGTTTTAGCTGGTGTTACCTTATAGTTATCTTTAACACAATTACTACTAAATGTAATTGTATTTGCAATATGCCCCCCCATTTTTTAAACTAAGGACAAACTGTACCAAGAAAAGCTTGTAAGGTTTTAAATTTCTATTATTCTACAAAACAAAACTATTATTTCAAATGGAATGTTTCCTTTAACTATATTGTCAGTTAAATATATTAAAACTATCCTTTCTAGATATTTTTTTGATTCCCCTCAATATTTTTATTGAACGGGCTCTTGCTCGCATTGAAAATAAAAATGTTAGAGTAGTTTACAAATGAGCTCTGCTTTTATATATCTCACAGTAATGCTAAAAGCTTAAAAACTAAGCAACAATTAATTTTTTAAATATTTTGAAGGAGGATCACCCACTTATAACAAATGAAATAGAATATTTTCTTATGGAGTCAGCCTGATTCCAGAATATTGTATGTTGGGCTACATCCTCTAGGGGTAAAGTTGAAAAAGTGTGACACATTGACATTCACATTTATTATACAGATTAAATCTAGCTTAGTGTAGAACAAGGACAAAGTGTGTGTGTGTGTGTAAGCCAATGAAGATCAAAGTACAATTAAGCACAGACATGTACTCTCAAATTCAAAGTTTCTTTTTAAGATTGGAAATTTATCAAGCAAAATAAAAATACATGTGTGAAAGAATACCTTAATAAGTGTTGGATGAGCCTCAGTTTCACCAGTCAGGAGATTGACAGTATCATGAAACTTCCTTTTTTTGTATTTGTTCAATTCTGAAAATAAATGAAAATCTTAAGGTATGAAATTATAGCAAAGTTTAACCTTTGAACTTGAAATATAAGGCTGCTATTACTGTATAGCCCTCTTGACAATGTTTGTTTGAAAGGTATATTTAGAATTTTGATAACAAAAATGTTACACACTATTTAATTGTTAAATTTATTTACAGGATGATAAAAATATGATGACAACTGAAAGATTTATTATTTACAAATTTATAAAGAATTATGAAAAATCTTTCTATTAAAACAAAATTTAGATAAACATTTTGCAGACATTATTCTTATTTTTTATCTCAGATTATTTCTAATTTTCTTTTGATAATCAGGATCTAGAATCAAGAAGGCTGAATCAATAGAAATACCCAGTAAAAATGAGGTTCTGTAATTATACACAAGGAAAAACTTGTCCATCCAATAGAGAAACACTTGCTCAAAATAGTGAGCTTTTGGTCTTGCCTAAAAAATAAATCCTTTCAATAACCAAGACTAAAAAATGATTTTAAAACTATAATAAAAAACAAATTGTTGTAATTTAACTATCTCACTATGAGGACAATTTGTGACACATGGTCAATTTTTTACATGAAGAAATCAAATGTGATATTGGCGGGAATTCCATATATTCATTTATTTCTTTATAAATTAAAAAAAAAATCTTTTAAAAAGAACATAGCAGAACAATGTGAATTAATTTTGTTTTATATTACATCATTTTGATAATAATTATTAAATTAATAACTTATAATATTAAATAGGTGAATTAACAATGTTTAAACAGAAATTAAAATTAAAATTTTATTTTGAACTGAAAGACTTTAAACTAGTGAAGTTTAAGTATTGCATTAATTTTTAAAGATTTTACAAGATCAATAACAATTCTTCTGACACCAGTTAATTTAAAGACAATTCAATGTCTGTGGGCCCTTACTTTCCATACAAACAATTATTTTTATTTCATGGGTGCTTTTCACTGGATTTCGCAATTTCAAGTATTCCCAAGTTATAAAAATTGCTATCGTATAAAAAAACAAAAACACACACACACACAATAGTGAAAACTTTGGAATCCCAAATTTCAGGATTGCAGGTCTGGATCTGGCCCAGAATGTTTATAATTTGATCATGGAGTCAGTCTGATTCCAAAATGGTATGACATGTTGGGCTACAGCCTCTAGGAGTAAAGTTGAAAAGTGTGACTCAGTAACACACACATTATAAACACACACACACACACAAGAAATATAGTATATTTGGATATATGTTTCATTGAATGTAACAGACAAATTTTTTTTTTCTTTAGTGTTCATACAGTTTCTCTTATGCAGACTAAGAGAATGTAGAAATTGTGATTATTGTCCCCAGCACTTTTGGCTAATTCATTAGCCATTTTCAGGGGGATTCATTGTTGGTATATTTGTCTGTATTTATGTTCTATGCTGTATTGCACAGAAGTAGTAGCTACTATCTATGCTGGATAGAAATAGTAATAACTATATTGGGTGCCTTTGAAACACTAACACATTCCAATTTGTTTCAAAGCAAGAAATATTGACCGTTGACTTAAATTACTTCATAAAAGTTACTTCTATTATCTTTAAACATCTTTTACAATTAGATATTTCTAAAATGACATTATCTACAAGGATTTTTCTTACTAGAGCAGTGAGTTGTGTTGGGGTGTTTCCTTATCACACTAAGATCACTTCAGATGAGCACCTGTTCAATGTATGCCTTTAGATTAATGATCATTACAAAAAGTCTGGTTTAGTTTGCATTTCATAGGCTGCTTATTGTTAATTATGAGCTTGGTAGTTTTAACTTTCTATAGTGTATTCTCAGTTTTACATGTTTGCTAGAGTCATCAGGTGACATGTTTTATGATGCGTTAAATAGGAAATTTGTATTGTTCATAATTTTTATGCATCTGATTTCAGTAAAAGATCAGAATGTTTTATTGTACTAATTAGTATTGGTGCCATTTATTTTCTTTAAGAATAATTTTAGTTAGGGAAATTGTTAATCATTGTTTTATATGTATGAATTCACTGAAAAATATTTTCTAAGTGTTTCTGGTATGAAAATAAAGCTAAGTCTGAATAAGAGATGTTCATTCCTTAAGTAGGTAAATGAGTCTTATTACCACTGTATGTACAATTAATAATATTAGGTAGTTTTGTGGTTTAGATGTTAATTTTCTTTTTTTTTTTTTTTTTTTTTTTTTATCTTAAAGTGGCTAATGATTTTTAATGTATGGAATGGAAATTTCTTATCCTAAACTACTTTCACCAAACCTGAGAAAAAAAATCTTATGCAACATTCTAATATCAAATGATTACAAGTTTATAAAAGAAGCATTAATTCAAGTTGAAAGTTCATAAGGGCGCATCATTAAAACTGCAGTTTAACATATCTAAGTCCATGTCGATTGGTTTAATGTTCACTGCATAATGTTTGATATAGGAAGAAAGAGTTAAATGCATTTCCAAGGAAGGATATGATGCTAACAATATTTGTTGTATAAAATAAAAGCTTACATCATTAAGCTACAAACTTACTGATGCCACCCACATATATTTTATAGCAGTAATAAAATTTGAGATTTTAGTGAGCTTCAGCATTAGCAGTCATACCAATTTATAACTACAAGCAATTAATATAAATATAAATTTAACCCCTCCCCCCCAAAAAAAAACAAATGTTAAATCTTCTCTTATCTAGAATTTCAATTAAATTCTATTATAGGAACTGTTTTGGTTAAGTGTATATAAACAGATTTAAAAGAGCAAATTGTTAAGTGTAGACTTTACCATTTGGTCAAAGTTAAAATTAGACTATAACCTCCAGTCAGTGATAAATTACAATAAACAATGTATTACCAAGTAAGTGAATAATGAACTCACTTTTGAAAGCATATGCTTTAAGGTTATGTGAGAATCCAGAATCCTTAGCATTTGGAGCAACACCAGACTTTGTGAAATACACATGTAAATAAATGGAACCATTATTCATCATAGACTGCAAGAAAAGAAAAAAAAATTGAATAACTTTAACAAAAATAAATCAAAATAATTAATAGGCATAAGATTCTTCAAAATGAAATCATACATCTTAAACTCTGATTTACTTGGAATATGTTTTTTTTAATATATAGAAAATTAAATTCCCCATCTTTCATGGTTTTGGAAAGTAGTTTTGCCAAGATCTTTTACTGTTAAATATGATTAAACAATTATAAAACTCAATATCATTTCAAAAGTGTTTAAAAATTTTAAATTGTAATAAATGCAAAATTTGCAAGACAGCAAGAATTAAAAATTCTGTTAATTTTTATATATGATAAATTATATAATTTTGCTCATATTATTTGCATGTATTAATAGCTGACATTTTTGTCACACACACACACACACCTTATTCTAATTATTGTATTTTTACTTAATCTTTTGATTTATTACTTTAATCAATGGAAGTTTCAATTTCCAGAATCTTGAACTTCAACCATTTCCCATTTTATGAATGTAATTATTCAGTTAGTACATAATTTTTTTGGAAAAAAAATCAATCCCTAGAAACAGGAAATTGCATTAAGAGAGAGAGAAAAAAAAAAAAAAAAAAAAAGAGTTTAGTTATGATGTAATTATGAAAAAATCTTAATCTGGTTTCAACTCAGTATCTATGCTAATGACAACTACTTACTCATATGGTAATAGTAAGTGATCAATTTGATGAGGTCAAACTGACAGCTGATCTTAGAAATGAACTATAATCTGTTAACGGGAGCAAATAATGACTTGTTAATTTTAACACCTCCAAAATGAAACTGATTTCTTTTAATTGTTAGAGAGAATCCTTTTTACCTTCTATCATCATGGCTGATGCTAACCTCCAGAAGAGTAACTAATTAACCCCCCCCCACACACACACAGCCATAATGTTGCTTCTCAGTACTTTTTCTATAAATAGTTTCATGGTACCTACACTTTATGAATTTAAGTGCTGTACTAGATTGGCAACAAGGTATCATCATTTTACAGTTAAAATTTCTAGATGTAACTAAGTTCTACGCCAACAGTTTCTTCTCTCCCACTCCTTGCTTGTGGAATTCTAGTTTCTTGCTACCCAATCAACTTTGACCTCTAAAAATTTAAATGCAATGTCAATTGGTTATCTTTAGTTTTATTAATTCCTGTTCATTTGTTCCCTCTTAATAGCATTATCCTCCCACATTCTTTCATACTCTGAGTAGCTGTATTGCCTTGCTTAGAGTGAAATGATATATAAAAACGTTTTCATGTATACAGCTAAAAATAGTTTTTATTTTTTTTAAATTTTTTATAAGCCTTAATAAACAATCTGAAAAATAAAGATTCAATGTCATAATTCTATTAATTGCAAATTTATATTACACAAGTAAAAATTGAAACAAATTAATCATGTAAAGTGAAATTTTTGTGTAAAATATTAAACAATTTAAAAAAATGTTTAAAAACATTTGAAACTGAACAAAATTTATTCACTTTAATAGACTAACCTCTGACAAAGTGATCTGTCCTTTTTTTTCAAAAGAGCCATCACCTGCTGGACCAGCTATCCAATCACCATAAGAAAGGCCTTTTTGGACCCAGAACACTGCTTTAGAGTTGTTGAAATCAGTAAATACTTCATTTTCTGACACATAAGCATGCATATCCTACAAAATAAATAAAAAATAATATATCATATATAAAAATTGAGACAACACTTCAATTTATAGGTGAAATTACTTACAATACAATAATAACACATTACACAATATAGGTAAATTATATATATTTTTAAAATTGCATATGGTGATAATGTGGAATTATTTTATCTGTAACTATCACTTAAAGTTCAAACAATAATTGTTATTCTGTTAATTATTTACACTAATCATCTGCATCTTTATTAAGGGATTAAACACCAGTAAAAAAAAAAAAAAAAAAAAATTAGTGGCAGTGAACTTTTTTTTACATAATTCCAAGTGATGTTTTTAAAAGAAAAATAGGAGAAATGATATTTGTATATTTATACTTTTTTTATTATTATATATTTTATATTACCTTTATTACGAATATTTAATATTTTTTCTAATTTACTAACACATTGTGTGAATAACAGTTTTGTTTAGTTATGTTTAACATTTCTCTTAAAAACATGTATTTTTTAATTTATAGGAGACAGGTTTCAAATCTTAACATTTTATTTGTGTTTATTGCTTAACATTTAAACAGTTTTAACAGTAACAATAATTAAAAACATGGTTTTATATTGGGTGATTATCTTGTATTATTTACTATATCTTATACTTTTTATTTATTGATTACGTTCTATTATTTAATCATTTAAATATATTTATTATAACGGTAGTAATTGGCATATTTGATCTGTTTGCTCCGACATCCAGTGTAAAAAAAAAAAAAAAAAAAAAAAGTCAGCAAGTGCTGTGGAGTGCATCAGAGAAAGGCTGTGACATGTAGAAGTCTCTGATCATCTACTGCAGCCAGGAAGTCTCTGGTTATAAGGATTCATTGTGCTATTGTGCACTGAGAACTGTCTACACTTGTAGATTAAATAAGGGGTTTCAGTATGGAATTCCCAACAGGTTACTTCAGACAAAAAAAAAATGGAGAAAATAGTTTGTAAGTAAATAACTCCTCCTCCTAGAAATCCAGACAAATTGTATTGGATTGTCCAGTAAGTTCATGGCAATGTTTAAGGGAACTTAAACACAAAACAAAATTATGCCATTAAATATTTATTTAACTAAATATGAACCGTTTTGTTGCACAACTTTTCTCCATTTTTGTTTCAACTTAAAGATTCCATCGTCCCAGAACTTCAGTGGTTTCTTGGCAAAGAATAGATTAAGGTGTTTTTTTAGGTCATCCAAAGAATTAAAATTTTTGCTATTGAGATTATTTTGCAAGGACCTGAATAAATGAAAATCCAAGGGAGCAATGTCTGGGGAATAATGCATGTGAGGTGACACATCCCAGCCAAACTGTAACAATCTTTGCTGGGTCACCAAAGAAATGTGAGGTCTACCATTATCCAGACAGAAAACAACACCTTTCTGTTTGTCACTTCTGAACATTTTTCTTGAATTGCTGCCTTTAATTCATCCAGTTGCAAGCAGTACTTTTCAGAATAACTGACTAGTTATTTTGCAGACACTCATAGTACAGGATTCCATTTCAATCCGACCAGATGCACAGCATGACTTTCTTAGGATGAAAATCTGCTTTTGAAGTAACTAAAGTTTGCCCATGTCACTTACCATAGGATCTTCTTTGATGAGCATCGATGTAAATGATCTAGGTCTCATTATCAGTTACAACTTGCTTCAAAAAGTGTGCATCTTCATTGCGTTTACACAGAAAATCACAGATGAAATGTGATCTAAAAGATTCTTTTCACTCAGACCATGTGGTATCCAAATATTGTAATGATTTGAGTATCAAAGCTACACTAAGTGCTCACAGATGGTAGATTTTGATAAATTTAGTGTTTCTGATAATTTCTGTTATATATATATATATATATATATATATATATATATATATATATATATATATATACCTTTAAATCTCTTGAGGAACATAGGGTTGCAAGATATTGTTGCAGTTTCTATAAAAAGCCAGTTTTTAAGTGAGTAGGTTGTTAGCCTACTGCACAACCCTCAACCTGGGGGATCAGGTTTTGAATCCAGAGTTGTTGCTCCCCTAGACCAGTTGCCACCCAAGGTTATAGAACCCAGTATGTCTTGCTATTTACCCATAGCTGGAGGGAGAAGAGGATTCTATTAGCACATAAGAGTATGGAATGGATTCAACTGGAACTTGAACTCGGCTCTCCAATTCCTCAATTGAAGCTGCTATCCATTAGTCCGATGTGCCTCCTAGCCTGTGTTAAGTAATGTAGGTTATTCTCGAACAATGTCTTCGTCTGTAGTGGAGGCGGGGGGTCCTGAGTGTCCTTCATTAATAAGGCTATAGTCACCAACTCTGAACTTAGTGAACCACTCCCAGCTAAAGCACCTTCACTGTAGCCAGCACATATCCCATTTTGTTGCTTGTAAGGCATTTTTGCTTTTACTGTAAAAAAAAAAAACCCAAAAAAACAAAAAACAAAATTGACACAAATGAAGTCATAAAATTTTCTCAAGAGATAGTCTGAAGTATGTTCTAATCAGAAATGTAAGCATATTATATCAGTCAATAAATTTGACATGTTCTAACAAGAACATTTAAAAAAATTGGCATGAACTTTAGCTTCAAAAAAAAAAAAAAAAAAAAAACTGAAATAAAATGCACTATTGACTGAGCAAAAGCTGTGTTTTTTTTTTAATGAATTAAAAATTTTTTTTAACATTTTGTGCTTGTGAATTCTTATTAAAAGGATATTCTATATTGGAGGCTGATAGCGACAAAAATTAAGGCATTACTTGAGAATAAATATTATATCATGCAGGTGATCATTAATATATTTAAAATATCCAAATCATGTACTGAAAATCATTTGCCCCATCTTAGCTTTGTCACTTTGAAAATAATAGCTACTGGATGACAGCAGTGTATGAATTGCTACATAAATGTTACAAAAACATTGTTTTTGTAACAGAAAATGAAGCACAAATACTTTACAATGATGTTTAATGCAAGAGATATTAAAGCAAAACTAGTAACTATACCAATTTTTTTTTTTTTTTTTTTTTCAAAAGATGCCATGTTCACTGTGCAATTCTAGAAAGGTCATTTATCTATGGTGACCTAGGAAAAAAAAGAAAAAAAAAAAAAAAAAAAAAAAAAAAAAAAAAAAAAATTGGTTCAATCAAGTTCTTATTCCCAATTAGACCAATGAAAAAGTGGTCAAATTTATTCAACTGGAAAACAATGTTACTGTTTAGCTGGAAAGTAAACTTATTTTCTATATTCACCAACTATTGCACCTTTCAATCACCATTTATTGTAATTTTTTAAAGTTTCCTTAAAGTGAGAAAAATCAAAAAACAACAATACCAAAGAAAAACTGCAAAAGAGGCATTTTTGGGTGAAAAACAATTTAACATTCTAGTTAAATGGAATTATGAAATTACCTGTTAAATAGCAGAAGGGAGAACAAAATGACAAATAAAGTTGATGCCAAATATATAAATAGCTATTTTTGTTGAGGCAGGACCAGAATCAATCCTACACAAAACAAAATGGGTCTTGCTCAATTTAAGCCAAAGATTTACAAGGCTGAATACAGGCACTCAGAGTAGTCTAAGTACACCAATTGTTTTTATTGAGACACCATCTCTAGAAAGGTTGCCATTCAAGACTTGAGACTGTACCGTAACCAAATATACATACACACATGTTGGCTACTATCATAAAGCTAATTTGCTCCTCAACAGGTTTTGCTTTTCATCCTTACCAGTAGAAAAGCTAGCAGGGAGATAGCCTACATGTTACCAGGTCTAAGCCTGACCTGAACTATAAATGAAGAAAAAAAAAAAATTATTTAACACTTCTGTGCCACTCAATAGAACTCTTAGACCTTGTCCTATAGTAAAATCCTACTAATATTAAATCGTTTGTTTTTCACTTGATTTTAAAAGATAGTATTGCTAATTATGAAGATGCTAAAATTTTATGGTCAGTTATCAAAACTAAATAGAATTGATATTCATTAGATTGAATTAGAAGAATTATTTCAAATAGAATATAATTTATGAAAGTAATACTTGAAAGTGACAAGATGTTTTGATTATAAAACCAATACATGTTAAGAACAGATAGTGCTAACAAAGATACCCAGAATATATATATATATATATATATATATATATATATATATATATATATATATATACATATACACACACACACACACACACACACACCCCTGTTGAAATTAACTATGTCTGATTATCCTCCTAACCTTCCCTTTAACAGCCTTTCAAGAAATTGAACAGGTCATATTTGTCTACAACCACAACACATTTCTGGCTTATATATTTCCTGTAATTATCAATGATGGCCTATGTTCCAGTTTGTCATGGCATGAAAAAATAATTCGCCTACCTCCACACTGAGCTTACTTTTCTATTTAGCACAAATCTGACATTTAATTGATTAATCAAGACATATCCACAAGTCTATTTTTAATTCTGACCTTATGTCCCCCACTTTAACTTTCATAAAAGAGGTAACAGTTCATTTTTAAATTTCCTTAAAAATCATTTAATCTCCAGTTACTTACCATTGCCTGAAGAAGTACAAAGTACTGAAACACTAAGGTTTTTGTGTAGTGATCAACATTTTTTTTATTATAATCTCATATATATATATATATATATATATATAGAGAGAGAGAGAGAGGTGTGTGAGAGATGTTTGCAAACAGCAAAAGACTAATAATTCAAATGTTACTGAGGTTTTCTTTCAGGAAATCATTGCAACTGGTCAACTTTATATGTGCAGTCTTAATCTAATAGTTATAGTTATCAGATCAAAAAAAATACCAATTTCCTTGTTTTGTAAAAGGTAGTAAATAATATGAAAACCTGAACATAAAAAATTGTGCCAATTGAATTGGATAACAATCATTATGTAGGAGAAAGGATAGGGAGAATAGTTTAATATAACTTAACCATAGTAAGATTAAATAAATTGAAGTCAAGAATGTAATGTTGGTATTGAATTGAATTATTTTATAATTTTCCAATAACACTGCAATAATTTTGGAAACTAATAAAGTTTCAATATTAATAGAACCAAATCCTAAAACATGATGAATTTTGAATATAATTAATGTTAGTACAGAACTACATTGAACTATTAGGCTGAAACAAGTTTATTTTAAAGATAACAATGATAAGTTTTATTATTTAAAAACCCTTGAATCTATTAGGTATTGTCTACATTATTTTTTCATTATTTTATTTATTTTTTTTTTTTAAAGGCTATAGCAAAACAGTCACTAAATGCAATTTTTGTATTGTTGCACGCAGACTTGTAACATCAAAATTGTTCAGGAGTTGGAATCAGTTTCAGAACAGACAATGTGTTGTTGGTTCCAAAAATTCCTTGATAGTGATCTGGATTGCCAAGATGATGTTGTTCATGGTCATTTAATAATAATTTCATTCCTTTCTTGGCCATATGTTGTTAGTTGATTAAAAAAAAAGAAAAAAAAAAAAAAAAAAAAAAAAAAGGGTTTCTCTATGACAATCAGAAACATTAGTTTCTTTGGGTCAACAAACTTGCTCCTCACTCACCCCCACCTTAAAATTTCCTTCTCATAGTTTTGTGATGCTGTAAAAGACAGCAGATTGTTATTGATTTAGAACTGATGCATTAATTAGACAAGGGTCAGCAAAGGTGGATACAAAAAGGACAATAAAAGGTATTATATTTCAAACACTGATGCAGTCAGGCATAAAGATCTACCTAGTCACAAGACCTATTTCTGAGCAAATTACCACTTTCTTCTGGTCTTAGATGTATATAAGTGCCAGCATGTTTACAATGTAGAGCAAGTTGAAAAGGTTTTCTAGCAGCTTCACCCCTAACCCCAATTTTTTCTCATAAAATAAATTCACAACTAGATTAATGGTAACAGTGTGTCAGTTCTATTATAATTGACACATTGTTACCATTAATCCAGTTTGCTTTGATGAATAAAGTTATGTTTGAATAAAAATGTTTGTTTTAATTAATAAAGTTATGTTTGAGTAAATTTTGTTTCAAAATGACCATTTATTTTGTTTCAACCTGATACATGGTATGTTTTTAATAAGCTAAATTTTTGTATATCTTGATCTTTAAATAAATTTAGTATTTTTATAGAAAAATTACTTGCATTTATCCTTAAAATTTATAAACAGGATTTAACTTCTAAACCTAAATTCTTCAACAATAATTGGATCTTATTCGATTTATAGTCTAATCAATAACAAAATTACATGAAATTTATAATATATTAACTTTTTTTTGTAAAACTGAGAATTGGATAACAGCAATTAAAGAAAAGCTAATTTTATTTAAATAACACAAAGTTTGTCAATCGTGGATTAGTTTAATTTCAAATATAATATGACAAGAGAAAAAGCATTGGTGTAAGTGAAGACTAATGGCAATACGATGGCTGTTAGCACTAGACAAGAGGAAAAGATATGTAGCAAAACCTTGCCATGAATATTGGAAGTGATAATTTTGGAGACCATTTTCTAAACAGGATAGTGCTAAAATGAAAGAAAAACAAGAAAAGGCATGAAACATACCATGATTAAACCCTTAGGAAATAAGTTTGATGAAGGTTCTTGTACCATCCCACTCTCTGTTGTTGGTGCTGGTGAGCGTCTAAACAAGCTGCTAAGACCATAGATAAAAATCATCCTAAATGCAAGGGTCTTTATGACACCCCAAAAATTCAAGCGATTCCCTTGAGCTGGCCGCTGTTCAGCTTCTTGGTCTTGATTCTGAACCTAAAAAAAAGAAAAATCAATACTTTGGTCTAAAAATTCGGTTTCATAATTTTATGATAAATAAAAGACCAAAAGACAACAAAGTTACAAAACCTATAAGAGTAGGGATAAATAAATTTTAGTTTTTATTTGTTTCCATATACTTATAGGCTAAATCCCAAGTCCACACACATTGCCTAAATTAGACTGAATATCCAGATAATCATCATTTTCTCCTCCTCCTCCAACCTATGTTGATTAGTAATTTAATGAAAGGTTATATCAAAAATATAACTGGATATATAAACTTGTTTTTTTTATAGTCCGTTTCAAATGAAATCAATGTAACATGCAAAGACTTAACATATTTCACTATCATATGACATGTTGCATATTCACATCCATTCCATGATTTTAATTTCAGCGTAATACAAAAAACTCCTGTAATTATTTTACCTTATTTGTAGAGCCATTTTTTGATGAATCAAATAAACGGGTACTGGTAAGTTTAATTCTCTATAGTTTATAGCAAATAAACAGTTAAATATTGTTAAAACATTTGTTGGCAATTAAAAAAAAAAAAAAAAATCTGTCAAACTAGTTTTATATGGTTGGGCATTAAAATACAGTTTTTTTGTTTTTTTGTTTTTTTAAATAATAAAAGTTACAAAGGGTGTATACTGCAATAGTGGTGCCAAAAGAAAAAACATCTTTTTGATAGTTTTTTTTTTTTTCACCTGTCCATATATGAAACTTCACCTATTTTCTTTAGATTTCAAAAATGTAATCAGACAACGTGTATCTTCCATACTTTTCTCTGAAAAGGAGTGAAGAAAAGAAAAGAAAAGAAAAAAAAATGATGGCACATTTAAGAGCTTCTCATTCAAACAGTAGACTACATAAAATATTCAGGCTTTTTGGGTTTTTTTTTTTTTTTATTCCTGCCCCTTATAATATACAGAGGGACCAATTTCCCATTTCAGGTTTTAAGAAATTCAGCAAGAACTCATTAAAGTAATATAGAAAATTTTAAAAGGGTTTAAATAAATTTAGAAAAAAATTCAGAATTTAAATCTTTGAAAATTTTACATAATTTTGTGCATTTTGCAGAATGAGCCTTTCATCTAACTGAAGGATTGCCGAGTGAATGAGCATCACCAACTGAATCCCATTTTCTGATTAGTTTCATCAACAGATAAATCTTTTTCTTATATCGTCTTTAGTGATGTATTTTAAAACTGTAAAAAGTACTTATTCATTGTATATTGGTTAAACAGTCACTTTTGTCTCAGCTGTTGCTTTTATGACTAAAAACTAAACTGAATATTTTTTTTAAATTGCACACTAGTATTTGTCAATAAAAATGGTCCCGTTTTTCTTTAAATGGTAATTCATTTCATTTACATTCATGACTGTCAATATTTTCTCTAATACTTGGAATCTGGAGATTAGATTGAAAATTTACATTTTCCTTTTAAAAACGAACCTGGGTACAGTTTATATAAAAATAAATGAACTGCATGCTTGTCTCATGGGTTCATAAAAAATTGAAATATGGAGGTTAAAATTGTTACACTTTCTTTAAAAAAAAAAAAAAAAAAAAAAAAAAAAGAAGAGAGAAAGGATACATTATAGTTCAACTTTTGCAAACAGATTGTCTTTTTGAAATGTATTTTAATGTAATTAAATGTAAGCCATTATGGAAGATAATAAGCATAACATTTAAAGTGGCTGTTCATTTTCCCTATATTTATTTTATGTATTACTGCATCACACACACAAAGAAACTACCTGAGTGATTACAAAAATTTACATTTAACCTTTTGTTCAGTGGATAATGAATGTTATATCCTGAGAACTAATTTCCTTCTAAAAGAGAGAAATTTGAAAAAGACCCACAATCCCTTGCCATGTATGCTGGTAAAAAACAAAAAACAAAAAAAAAAACATGTGATGGCAAGAATAGACATTACAGTGATATAAGTTAATAGAACTTTATTTCCACCTCTAAAGGAACAAAAGAAGTAAGACAAAGCACTCAGTGAATCTGAGTATTCAAACAACTCTAGCATTTGTGATTAAGAAGAACCCTTCAAATGACCTTCAGTTACAAGTACCAAGACCAAGAGGTTGTAGTATATTATTACTGCAGCTTTTACATTGACCAAGTCATTGACATTACATCTCTGTCCAGTGCTATCGTCAAAAGTTTAGTTCCAACCAAAGATAGAAATGATTATTTTGATGGCTTTTGTTGGATGATATTAACAATTGTCTTTAGATTGGACTTTGGTATAATACCACTTTCAAGAAATGACAGGATATAGAATGTTCCAGGAATATTGGCTATAGCAAAGGCTTATAAACAGATTTAGACTGCAAATCACCATTAGAAGCTGAAATGCAAGAGGACCATTCCAATGATCCAGAAAGTTTTTTTCATCAGTTCCAATAAATATATTTTCATTAATTTCATTTTAGTTTGAAGATAAGTTTAATGCTTACAATAAGACTCAGTTTGAAGGATTGACCAATGATTAATTTCCATGAAACAAATTTCTAAATTTTGCCCTACTGTCCTAGTACTGACAAGTTAAAAATTGCATAATTTCACAAGATTTTCCAAAATTAGATACATCAATGACAAAAGGTATTCATATTAAAGTCAATAGAACTACTTGTTGATTTACTCATCTCAGAATTAATAAAGTTTTGTAAAGGTAGCAGATATGTACCTCCAATGGATACTATTGACCTACTGTCAAATTGTACTTCTGGCTGATTTTACATTGTGTAAACAAGTTTTTTGTTATTGATATACAAATCATATTTATCTCTGTTGTGCTATGAATTATAGCAAAAGAAGTTGTAAGGCATTAACTGTTGAAATGGAACTGATGATCAGTCATCAAATTTGCCCTTCAGTGTTTTTCTTTTTTTTTTTTTAACTATTTCATTTTTAAGAATGTAATTTTCCCTGGTCAGATTTAATAATTATTGATTCCATTGGTATTATCTTTCTTTTACTTCAGGATTATCTTTATGATGATTTAGCTGTTTGAAGTCTGCATCTTCAGTTATATATTGTTGAATTTAGCTTCTGGCACAAATTTGACAAACTTTAAATGATTATAACCGTGTTGCAAATTGAGATTCCAAGATAAATTTAGTACCATTTTTTGTTTTGTTCAGCTGTCTATGCTTATATTAAATGTTTGTAGATATATTGAAAGTAAAATCCAAGTTTGAGATACTTATTATAAATGAACAACATTTAAAAATCCAGTATATTTTTTTTTATCTCAGATTAATTTGCTAGTATATCAAGTTAAATCTGCCAGATTAAACTTAAGCATATACAAGCACACACACACTGATCCTATGCTAAATGCCTACAACCTATAAGCAGAGAATCAACTAATAAAACATGTAAATCAATCCTTGATTAATCATAATTCCTTAAAATCTGGCCATAAGTAAGTCTTGTGTATTAATAAAAAAGGTATTATATGAAATCAGTGACACCCAATAAATATCTAATCAATAAAAGGAATATTTTAGATAAAAAGCCAAAAGACTGACAGAAATTTATGGCACATTTAAAATTGTAACTAGTTGACAACTGTAGTGTAGTTTAACACATTCATTGAACATTTTTATAATGAAATAAGTAACTGTCATAATTTCATATTTTCAAATGATGAAAGCAAGTTTTCATATTTTCCTGATGACAGCAAGTTTTGCAGTCTGATAAGTTATGCAAATTCTTTATATTGCTACTTGAAAAAGTAGCAGCAATAACAATAGGTACCAATCATTTCAATTTTTTATTAAATGATTTGAAAATAAATCTTGCATCAAACAAAAGTCAAACTCAAAACTGAACAGTTTATGAAGGTCAATCGATGATTTACCAAATTTTTTTGAGGAAAAAAAAAAAAAATGTACTTTTTTATATTTTTTTAATATTGTCAACCATTTGCAAATTAAGATTCAACATAGCAAGATAGTAAGTAAAACACCCATGCTTTGAGCACCCCCCCAAAAAATAATAAAATAAAATAAAAAACGAATTTAAAAATAATTTAAATGCCACACATTCAGCAAAACTTTGTGTTTATGAAATAGCCTAAAGCTAATACGAATGAAAAGACAGACAAATTTTTGTATGTAAAAAGGTGTTATTTTAAAAACATTCACTAATTAATCAAACTGATATTATAGACAAAAAATGTAAAATTTAAAAATCTAAAACTTCAATATTTAGAGGGGAGTTTCAAAGTACATTTAAATTTTAATTAACTGAAATTTATAAAAAAAAAAAAAAAAAAAAAAAGTAATACATATTTAATAAATTTTCTACAGTATCTTCAGTGATTTTTCTTTAAAACTAAAAAAGTATTTGCCATCACTCTCTCTACGATGTATGGGAATGGTGAAGATAACTGCTCCTTCTATTTCCACAAAGTTTTCTAATAAAATTGCCTATTGACTATTATTGAGTACAGTTCATTCATTAAGTGCTGAAAATAAATGTATAAGTCGGATAATTCCCAAAATTTTTGTAAAATTTTAAAGTGTTATCGCTTTAATTTCAGAATATAAATGTATTTGGCGGTAATAGAAAGTGCTCTCTTTTGCTCGTGATGGTGTATTGTAAGAATTTAATTAATGTTTAGTTTAAAAGTGCAAGAAATAATTTTAACACTGACTTTACTAACAGTTTAAAACATTTTAGCACCTAGATATCATTAATCTTTAAATTGATTAAAAAGTCAAATGATTTACCGGCAGAAAAACTATTGTTTCACAGTGTCCATATTAAGAAAAAGTCTATTTAAAAACTAAAAGTAAAACATTTCGTCAATCTACCAAATTCCATTAAAAAGAAAAGAAAAAGAGACTGACATTTATTCAGTTTTAGATTTTAAATAACTTTACAACTTAATTTTATCAGACTAACCTTTTACAAGTTGGGAAAAGGCTATCGAAATAGCTACAAGAAAAAATAATGACAGTGAAAATCTTACTTATTATAAAACGCAGATTGTGTGTGTGTGTGCATTTATATATTGCATTGGATTTCCTACATTTTTCAACAAAACTTCACAGAACTACATAAAATTACCTTGCGGTGGTTCTGACAGCACCAAAAATTGGAAAAAACAATTGTTTTTGCACGAAATCAATTTGAAAACACGATACTGTCACCAGAATGAAAGGGGGACAACTCATATCGAGTTATACTTATTATAAAACCCAGGTTGGTTGGTTGTGTGTTCGTTTATATATGGATCGGATTTCCTACATTTTTCAACCGATTTCAACAAAACTTCACTTTTTTTTTGGCAGGTAGTGTTTCTTATTGTCTTTCACACTTTTTTCTTTATTTTTACATTCAGAATGCTTTAAAAATTCCATTTACAAGGCAATTGTTTATAATAAAATTCTATTCAATCGGTAGACTCATAACGATTAACCTTAAACAATAAGCTTTGTCAATTTTATTTTTCAGTCTTTATTATGGTCGATACTTGATCTATCGCTTACTGTTACATCCCCGGGCAACGCCGGGCTCTACTGCTAGTATTTTATAAATCGATGAAAATGAAAAAAATTAATGCTGCAAGTAGTGTGAGTCAATTTTCAAAATCACTTTTATTGTTAAAATTTTTATTTCAAATAAAGTAGAAATATTTAAACTACACGAAGTGTCTGAATATTTTGTACTCAATTTTTTTTGTAAGTATATTTCAAAAAAAAAAAAAAAAAAAAAAAAAAAGGCAGATTTCCTTAAAAGAATTAAAATAAAAGTTGAGTTTTACTTTTATAATGTTTTAGAATTTTATGATGGCACATGAACAAGTTTCAATTTTTGTAAACAAAATTTTAACTTTATTTTCTGTTATAAAAACCAATGATATGCTTAAAAAACATGACTGACGAACAAGAAAACTTTCCTAGAGGAGGGACTTCTTAAGGAGGATTGAAAACTGTTACAAATTATTAACAATATTCCTTTCTGAAGGACACAGTTAGAAAATACTATAAAAATAAAAACTCTTAAAATAGCGCATGTGATGATTGACAACAACTGTGCGCAGCCATTTTAGTACATAAAAGTTATCGTCATCGTGATATCCGCCCCAAGTGTAGTAAAGAATCCCATGACAATATAGACAAGTTTTATATTTTGGTAAAGAGTTAAAGCTAAATTTATAAAGGTTGAAATAATTTTAAGAAAATAAAACAAACTTAAAATAAGTTAAAATATTTTTAAAAGAAAGAAAAATCAAATTATAGATTTATTTGTTGCTTAATAATTAGCAAGAACATTTTCAGTCTGCTATCTCATTTTAAGAGTTTGCGATAATAAAAAAAAAAAAAACAAAAGAAAAAGAAACAAGCTTCAAGTCACTTCATTAAGGACAAAACGACGGTACAGTAGCAGCTTCTATAAAAAATGAGTTCTGAATATATCAGAAAATAAAAAGATTAAAAATAAAACAGTCATCTATCTAGATATATCTATATACATACACACACATACAAATAAATAGGGGGGGGGCTTAATTGTCGGTACAAACAGGAAATTCAGAACTACTAGAGACAACGTACAAGACACGTGCTAATTCAACATTTATCGTGAGCTGTAACGAAAGAAGGCAAGACAAATTCAACTTAAGTTATAAATTATAAATTCTACAGCTTAGATTTGTTTGTTTGTTGTTTTTTTTTTTTTTTTAAAAATACCCATTTATACATTGAAATAAAATTGAGATTTACTGGTTTATTAATTCTTTTTAGTCGATAGAACACTAGAAAATGAGTCTCTAGAGTTCTTCCTACTTTTTGCCATTTTCTCTGTAGTCTGTTCATCACCCACTTATTTACGACTGATCAGAAATATAATATCAATGTGAGACTTAGATATAATTTTTGAATCTTGTTTTTAACCCACTCAAAAAAAAAAAAAAAAAAAATGAAAGAAAAACCCTAGTCTTTAAAGATTAGTAATAAAAAAAAAGAAAAGAAAAGACGAAAAGATTAGTGCTCGAATAGGGACAAGTAAAAAAAAAAAAAATACGCTATCGTTCAGGTTACCGGATCATGTCGGTAAAGAAGAGGATTCATACTTAATAGAAAGTAAAAGTATTACTATATATAACACACACACAAATTATTAATCAGTCGACAGAATCGACAATCCTCTTTTAGTATTCTTCCTCCTCACTTCAGTTTGAAAATTAGACACTGACTAAATTCCTCCGTAAAACCAATAAAAATAATTCCGTTCGGATGATGGCTTTTAAAAGAATATTTCTAAATAAATAGCAAGAATAAATCTTTAAAATACACATCAACAAAGTCAAGAAATATGAAAGAAAAGTTTTATTCCTTATTTAAGACAAAAACAATTTTTACGAGACATTCAAGGGGAAATGTTTACTACCGGGGCGAAAAAAAGGTAATAAAAAAGGACAAATTTCTGTTTGGTTTGCATAAAAAAGACAATCGGAACTGTTTCCCTGTGTTAACTTCAAATAAATAGTGTGTAAGTAAAAAAAAGAAAAAAAAACGTATGTTTAAATTGAAGAAGCAAAGCCAAACTTAACAAGTCTGCGTTCATCAAAATTTTAAGCAACTCCCGGCGCAGAGTTCAATCAAGCATCATGGAGCGGCATCGATCTTCGGACAAAGAAAATAAGACAGTTTAAACATCTTACTACTTACCACATTTTCTTCGACAGATCCACTTTGGGCTACAACCCCTGTTTCCTCTTCAGAAGCCTGAACTTCGTCTTTCTCTGCACTCATTTTATCGTCGGCCATTAAAGTCTACCTTGTGCAGCAAGATACTAGGAAAGGGCCTAGCTTTACTACTTGAAAATAAGTCGAAATAAGATATATTCACATCCGCCAATTAAAACAAACATCTATCTGAAAAGTGAAAATAATTACTTAAAAATAACTTCTTCTCTTGTTTAAATTATTTTCATGATAAAATCTAATAAAAATATCAACAAGTTGTAAAATGTAGATACGAAATTAAATTATTTATTTTTCAATCTTTATACAAGTTCAATCTAAAGATGGCGGGCCTTCGGGATCGTGTTGCCTGTTACTTCCCCTTTCAAAATATTCAAGGTGTCGTAAAACTGTTCCAGGACCAATTGAACAGACCCGAAGAGCCAAATTTGTCTCTCCTTTCAATTGTATTAGGAGTGATCGAAAACATTTTAACTGTCAATCGTAATGTACCGACAGATATTGACACTTCGAAAAGTTTGGAGCCAATTTTTCCTGTGATTGAATTTTCAATAATTGAAGCCCTCTACAATAAATTCATCACAATCGTAAAAAGTTCTGTTGATTTAACTGAATACAGATCTGATTATGCTACTAGAGAACTTGTGAAGAAAGTTTCTGATGTCATTTGGAGTTCTCTCACTCGCAGTTACTATAAAGATAGGGCCCATCTACAGTCCCTATATAGTTTTTTAACAGGTGAGTAAATATGCCTATTATAAGCAGCGTATGTTATTTTTCTTAAAGTTTTATTTATTTACTTACACTTTTATGCTTTATCATTGGCATTCTTGAAAAATAGTATTGTTTATAGTAGTGCAAAAATAGTATGCTGTTGGTTTTTATTTTTATTTTTTGCATGTGCAAACACTTTTCAAAGTTTTATTTTTTTACGAAATGGTACTTTTTAAAAAAACAGTTAAGTTCGGATAATGTGTCCCGGAGATAAGGAAATAAATAGTAACTTGGTTAAATTTCTTCTATGCTTTATTTCATTTTATTATTTGCATACTTTTCAATCTTGGGTTTTTTGTTTCGTTTATTTTTTTTTTTTTGTACCTACCTGATCATCTGTAAGAAGAACTGTTGCTTAATGTTTGTTTATTTTTGTCTAGCAATATGACGTCTGCTCCGATGTGAAGTTTTTGTTTTCAAATGGAAAAAATACATTAATCAAGTTTATAACTATTTCTTGTATTTTTACATTTTTACTCCTTGGTTGATGACAGTTCGTGTTGGGGCTTGATAGTTAAGCGGCAAATACAATTGGTTTTCTTTTTCCCTCCAATAAACAAAAAAGTGCTAGTAACTGCTTGCCGTGGTTAGAAGAGCGAATAATAACTTGTAGCTCTAATGTTTACAACTCATAATGACAGTTACGGTTAAATGGATATTTTAACTAAAGTCCAAAAGAAATTAAAAAAAATAGTTACAGAGAGAATATTATCGGGTTGGGAAATGAATGACGAAAATTTTCTTTTTTTTTTTTTTTGTCAGGGTGGGAGTGATACGGAAAGTGAGTGAAAGTAAAAGAAATGCGACAGAAATCAAAAGTTTTAAATAAAATAATTATTCTCAGTGTGGCATATGACAAACGAAGGTGAATAAAATTAAATTAGTTATTTATTTTCTTATTGCGAAATTATTCATTTAAATGAATAAAAAAAAACATTTAATTTTTTCCTTAGTTCTTAATTAAATGAAATGCAGCATAAATATATTCTCATTTACTTTTATTTTATCGTGATACTTTTAAAAAAGCTGTTAAAGATCTTAAGATCTCGGAATTAACTCTTCGTTTTGAATTTAAAAAACTGCGTAAAAAGTTAAACTGCTCGAAAATTTAGTCTATAGAGTTGTCGTTCCCGACTTCTTTGTGAAGATAAACTTGAAAGAGTAAAAATACAACACTTATTTTTTGGAGGGAAACGTCTCGTTTTTTCTTTTTTTTTGTTTTCTTTTTTTTTTTTTTTTTTTTTTTTCAGTTTAATTGAATGACCTTTTTTTTTAAATATTATAAATTAAAACAATTTTAATGGGTTTTCGTTTAAACAAAAACATAATTTGTCATACAAACAGATTTATGTTTGACTATTTTAATTTAAAGTATTTTTTGCGTCATAAATTATAAAAGAATTTTTATTAAAGGTTTATTTATTTATTTTTATTTGGGTTCAGAAATAAAGGTTGTCGCTAACATTTTTTTAAAGGAATACCATTTTTTTAATTTAATTTTTCTCGCTTTTTTAGTTTTATTTTAAATATTCAGTCATCGCCTTTCCGTACCACGAAACAATCTTTTTTACTTTTTGTTTGCTTGTGAATTCAAAAGCAATGGAAATACATTGAGTGATTATCTTCGTAAATAAACTAAGAAATCAAGTTTTTAAGTCGATAGTTTTGTTATGCTTCTGCTTCACTTTCTGCTTATTTTATTTCTTTTCTTAATGTAAAACTTTTACTTACCTTTTTTAAAAATATTGATGTATGTCTAACAATGTTTTTAAATTTTAACGGCTAAAAAAAAAAAAAAATCATTGCTATTTTTAAGAATCATTTTTTTTTTTTGTTACTCTCGTGGACAGTTCAATTGTTTTGCTTTTGTCGATCGAGTTTGTAGTTCGTGTAATCAGGTGTATTTATTTTTTTGCATATGTAACTTGTTTGGGTAAATTTTATTATGCTCTTCCGTCAGTGTTGGTCAAAGATAAATAAAACCCTGAGTACTATGCACACCTTTTCATATTGTCATTATTTTTCCTAATAATGACAATGTACTTTCTTTTTTTACGTATTATTCAACTTTAGTCTTTAAATGCAGTTGTTTTGGACACTAATTTTTCCACTTGATGAATCGTTGAATTAATAAATCCCTACACTTACAGTACACTTTTTTTCTTTTAAATGATTGACAGATTTTTTATTCTCTAGTTAAGGTTAATAAAAATACTGACCATTATTTGAAATGAAGAAACCAACGGACCAGCTTTTTTTTTTTTTTTTACTTAATTTTCGTTAAAAAAAAGAAAAAAAATCGTTTTCAATCGTGACATTTCTAATCTATGGGTATCCCTTACTCTGTAAAAAGCAACATTAGCTGCTGTTGTAAAAAGGTCCACCTACGCAAAAAGAAAAAAAATGCGTAATTTTAAGCACCAGGACCCTATTTTTCCGTGTACGAAATTAATGCACTTTTAAAGGAAATTGGTTCATTCAGTCAAAACATCCTTCTTCTTGTGTAACGTCTTATTCCGTAATCGTCCTATTTGGGGTAAATAAAATTAAATCTAAAATAAATGATAGAAATAAATAAACATTGCTACTGCCCATTGCCTAACATTTAGTACGCAGTTGTTAGCAATAAACTACGTAAAACCTACCGACTGTCACCATACAGTAAGCTTTTGTAAACTGACAAGTCATTTAAAACGACAAATTGTCAAATGTAAAAACTAAAAAGTATTTATTACACACATGTTGTAGTGAGTGTATTACTGTTTTTGTTGTTTTTAAAACCTACTTGTTACTATTTGGCGCGAATTTAATTAACTTACTTGACACGAGCAAAAGCCCTAATAAGATGTCATTTTCTAAAAGAAAACAATGATGACTATATTGATTGATTGATTGCAAAATACAAGCCACGTCTTGTTACGCATCTTTCTTTTTTAAAAACTGATCCAACGTTTTGTAGCTTATTTATTTTAGACGACAATTTTTTGACTGTTTCGTGAATTTAGAATGAAAGAAGTTCGAATAAGAAGACGACTCTAACTTTGGCAATATTAGAGAGTTCGTTTTTTAATAGTCAACTCCTTGAACCATAAATTAAATTAAAAAAACACTCTTCTCAAAAGTCAAAACAACGTATGACCACTGACCAGATCTTTGCAAATGACAATGGTCGGTTGGGGGGGTGCAAATAAAAAATCTCTCTTCCTGTTTCGGATGTTCAACATAAACAACTAAGTTATTTAGTGTTTGGGGCAAGCACGAACTAAAAATACATACTTTTAAGTTTTTGTTTTTTGTCAAGGACAATCTTTTGAATATGGAAATTTAAGATCGGTCTATTTTGTTAAAATTAAAAATATTTCTTTTAAAGTTTATTTTTCGAGTAAATTAATAACAGTAACTAAAAATGTGATCAATATTCTTTTAAACCCTACAAAAATCAATTTAACCCTCTAGATTAGGAACTAATTTTAATTTAAATTTTTTTAAGCAAGCTCTTAAAAAAGCACAAAAATGAACTCTTACAGGTGCATAAAACAAAAAAGGCAAGATTATTATTCTTAAATTGCGTGTTTGTTCAACTGATGTGATAATTGTTCGGATATTTCCTCGTTCTCTTGTGGACATTAATTTGCATTTTTCAGTTTCTTGAAAACTCAAACTTTTTAAGTCTCCCGACATGAGTGTGGGAAGAAAAAAATTACCACCACACCCACACATTTTGTTGGAATAAGTGGATTAAATTTGGCGGTTATGAAAATTTTCTTTTTGTTGCTTTTACAAGGGAAAACATGGTTCATGCGTTTAAAAAAAAGTAAACCGCTGAACTTTGAAAACAAAATAGTTTTTTTGAATGTAGCGACTATTGCCGTTATGTAAGAAAAATAATGATTACTTTAATTACGTTACCTAGCTGAAGGTAAAAATAAATAATACACGCAGTTATCGTATTTTTCCTATAAAATCACTAACGACTATCCACTTGTCTTAGTTTGAGGAAAAAAATTTGGGTGAACTTTGGTTATAGGAAACAAAATTGTAATTAGTGACTGTTAATTTAATACGTTACTTTTTAAATGGAAGTATCAACATTTTTTAACACACTTTTGAAACGTTATCTGTTGTCTGTAGATATTTAAGCTGAATCGGGCACAAGGACGTCCATTAAGGATTGAACTTGTCATTGATGATTGTCTGTGAAATAAGCTTTCTAATCATTCCTCTACTGATATTCAATCAAATTCTTATCTAGAATAGGTTCAATAGCAGTAGATATCCAAAATAAAAATTTAATTTTCAATATATCTAAAAAAAAACAAAAAAAAAACAACTTAATGCTGACAGGTTGACAAAACACAATGGCACCAAGTTTTGTTTGATCATTCAAATTGGTCAGTACTTATATTTTCCACATGTGAAACAGTGTATAACTGAAGATGCAGGTTTCAAACGAGTTAAAAATTATTATAAATATTATAATTTCATATAAGTAATCTTGAAGTAAAAGAAAGATAATAGTAACGGAATAAATATTGGGAAGAATTGTTTTCAAAAACGAAATAGTTTTGAAAAAAGACACTTAGAAGGGCAATTTGGACTGATCATAAGTTTTATTTCATTTCGGTTAATAATGCCTTGCAACTTCTACCATGATTCGTAGAACAACAGATTATGCTTCTTTTTTTTTTTTTCATTAGTACATCAACAACAAAAAACAACTTTTTATTTACACCACATAAAAACAGCCATAACTGCAATTTGCCATTCAAGAAGTGTTCATTGGAAGTAGATTTCTGCAACTTTTACTAAACTTTAATTTTGAGATGAGGAATTCAATAAAACACTTTTCACTTTAGTCTGCATACCTTTTGTCATAGATGCATTTGATTTTTGGAAAATTTTGTGAAATTATGTAATTTTTAACTTGTCAATAATGGGACTGTAATGACTACAAAACATTAATTTATCTCATGAAATAAATCATTTGTTAATCCTCCAAACAAATGCTTATTGTAAAGCTTTAAACGCATCTTAAAACTAAAAAAAAAAAAAAAAAAACTGAAATGAATAAAAATACATTTATTGGAACTGATGAAAAAGATTTTCTGGACAGTTGGAATGGTCCTCTTGCATTTCCTATTCTAAATGGTGATTTGCAATCTAAATTTATTTATAAGCTTTTGCTAGAGTCAACATTCCTGGAACATTCCATATTCTGTTATCTCTTGAAAGTGGTATTATATCAAAGTCACATCTCAAAACAAATGTTGACACCACTTGTCCAACAAAAGCCATAAAAATAATCATGTTTACCTTTGGTTAGAACTAAACCTTTGATGAGTGTGGGATACTGGTAAAGGGAAAAGGTTAATTTAAAATATGAACTGAAACAGACAGCATTAAAAGTACAGAATAACATAAACTGAAAGAAAGAATAGTGAAAGTACATTTGAAGGTAGATGAGTTTTTTTTTTGTTTTTTTTTTTTTAAACAAAAGCAGGAATGTCCGCTTAATTAAAGTGGAAGTTAAAAAAAAACCTGTCTTGTGATTGGAAGGAGTCAGTTGAGTTATAATATTTAGTTATTTTGAAGACAGACAGAATCGAGAAACTGATTTATGCCTGCATGTCAAAGGGCAGAAACATCTTTGCTGATTTTAGAAATGTCAACAAATCAAGAAATAGGGTTTTATCCTTTGTTCAAAGAAATTGTGATAAGAAATGAACCTGTAAGGTTCATGAGTATGATTAAGTTAAAAGACATTGAAGTTTTGAAGAACCTCCTTTTTGTCCACTCAGATTAAAAATCAGATTTGTCAAAGAGACAGCCGAAGCAGCAGACTTGGATGAAAGACTGAGGAGGAGGAGGAAGAAATTACCTCTGCCCATTTAGAAGTAATAGTGTGAGGCATAAATAAGAGAAGGAATGAGTTATAAGAGCATGGTGATACCTGCAAACACTACCAGTAGGGCAAATGTATCTCCCAAATTTGGAAAAATAATTAATGTTGCAAACCAGACCACAAGAAACTCTTGTTCAAATTGATACAGAAACCTTGAGAACCACCAGATTCCCAAATGCCGTCAACCCCACTCCAGTCTCAAGTTGAAGTCATCATAAGCAGAATGCTTAGGCGACCCAGAGAGAGTAGAGATACATGACAAATAGAAGATGAAGGTGCTACTGACATTCCTATGATTTGCTGTCAAGAGAACACCTGATGTTGAGCCCTGTTCCAAGAATTAGCACCAATAGGCAAAGTGTCACTATAGACATTTTAATGAAAAGGGTTAATCAAAGAACTACATAAAGGAAATTGAAAATAGACCTGAAGAATCTTTTGTTTACATTTTGTCCGTAAGAACACTCCTTTTCTTTCCTTCATAATACAACTGAACCATCCCTATGATTACTGATGATACTTGATCCCCACCAGCTCTGTGATCAATAAACATTATGTGGGCGGGGCAAAGTGTGGACAAGGGCTGCCATTGACTAATGACCCATTGACCGGTGACAGTATCAACCAGTGTGGGATTGACCCTCCAATTGACTTGTTATCCTACGATGCTGAGGACCAAGTTATCTTTTGGTATTGGTGGTATGTGGCAAAGGTCATATAATCAGGTCGCCAGGATTGACAGGGACATGTCTGTTATATTTAGTTGTCGTGGACAAGGATCAATTCTGCAAGTTATAATATTTGGTGTCTGTAACCAAAAGATTGACCCAAGAACACAACACAACCAGACCGAAAAGAAGACAATAAAGAAAAAAGTAAAGAAAAAGATCCATCCAAGAACACAACATGACAAAACCGAAAAGAAGACAGTAAAGAAAAAGATCTATCCAAGAACACGGCACAACTAGACTGAAAAGGAAACAATAAAGAAAAAATTAAAGAAAAAGATTGGCCCAAGAATAAGGCACAGCCAGACTGGAAAGAAGACATTGAAGAAAATTAAAGAAAAAGATCGATCCAAGAACACAGCATGACTAAACTGAAAAGACAATTAAGAAAAAAGAAAAAGGTCGATTCAAGAACAAGGCACGACCAGCCTGAAAAGAAAACAGTAAAGAAAAAGATTGATTCAAGAACACGACACAAGACCGAAAAGAAGACAATACAGAAATAAAGTAATGAAAAAGATCTATCCAAGAACACAGCACAACCAGACCAAAAAGAAGGCAATAGAGAAAAAAAGTAAAGAAAAAGATCGATCCATGAACAAGGCCTGGCGAAACCGAAAAGAAAACAATAAAGAAAAAAGTAAAGCAAAAGATCTGTCTAAAAGCATGGCATGACGAGACTGAAAAGAAGACAATAAGGGAAAAAAAGTAAAGAAACACATTGATCCAAAAACATGGCATGACCCTATCGAAAAGAAGACAATAAAGAAAAGAGTAAGGAAACACATCGATCCAAGAACACGGCACAACGAGACCGAAAAGTAGACAATAAAGAAAAAAGTGAAGAAAAAGATCGAGCCAAGAACACGGTATGACCAGAGCGAAAAGAAGACAGCCAAGAAAAAGATCTATCCATGTACATGGCACAAACAGACCAAAAAGACAATTCAGGAAAAAAAGTAAAGAAAAGGATCTATCCAAGAACACGGCATGACTAGACTGAAATGAAGACAAAGAAAAAAGTAAAGGAAAAGATCGAACCAAGAACAATTCACGACCAGCCTGAAAAGAAGACAGTAATGAAAAAGATTGATCGAAGAACCCAGCACGACCAGACTGAAAAGACAGTAAAGGAAAAGATCGGTCCAAGAACACAGCACGACCAGACCGAAAAGGAGACAGTAAAGAAAAGATCGATCCAAGAACATGGCATGACCATACTGAAAAGACCGTAAAGAAGACAATCTATCCAAGAACACGCCACAACTAGACCGAAAAGACAATAAAGAAAAAGATTGATCCAAGGACATGGCACAACCAGACTGAAAAGACAGTAAAGAAAAAGATGGATCTAAGAACACAACACGACCAGACCAAAAAGATGACAAAGAAAAAAGTAAAGAAATAGGTCAATTCAAGAACACGGCTTGACCAGACCGAATAGAAGACAGTAAAGAAAAAGATCGATCGAAGAACACAGCACAACCAGACCGAAAAGAAGACAGTAAAGAAAAAGATTGATCCAAGAACACGGCACAACCAGACCGAATAGAAGACAGTAAAGAAAAAGATTGATCCAAGAACACAGCACAACCAGGCCGAAAAGGAGACAGTAAAGAAAAAGATCGATCCAAGGACACAGCACAACCAGGCGAAAAGGAGACAGTAAAGAAAAAAAGATCGATCCAAGAACACAGCACAACCAGGCGAAAAGGAGACAGTAAAAAAAAAGATCGATCCAAGGACACAGCACAACCAGGCCGAAAAGGAGACAGTAAAGAAAAAAGATCGATCCAAGGACACAGCACAACCAGGCCGAAAAGGAGACAGTAAAAGAAAAAGATCGATCCAAGAACACAGCACAACCAGGCCGAAAAGGAGACAGTAAAGAAAAAGATCGATCCAAGAACACAGCACAACCAGGCCGAAAAGGAGACAGTAAAGAAAAAGATCGATCCAAGAACACAGCACAACCAGGCCGAAAAGGAGACAGTAAAGAAAAAGATCGATCCAAGAACACAGCACAACCAGGCCGAAAAGGAGACAGTAAAGAAAAAGATCGATCCAAGGACACAGCACAACCAGGCCGAAAAGGAGACAGTAAAGAAAAAGAGATCGATCCAAGGACACAGCACAACCAGGCCGAAAAGGAGACAGTAAAGAAAAAGATCGATCCAAGGACACAGCACAACCAGGCCGAAAAGGAGACAGTAAAGAAAAAGATCGATCCAAGGACACAGCACAACCAGGCCGAAAAGGAGACAGTAAAGAAAAAGATCGATCCAAGAACACAGCACAACCAGGCCGAAAAGGAGACAGTAAAGAAAAAGATCGATCCAAGGACACAGCACAACCAGGCGAAAAGGAGACAGTAAAGAAAAAAGATCGATCCAAGGACACAGCACAACCAGGCCGAAAAGGAGACAGTAAAGAAAAAGATCGATCCAAGGACACAGCACAACCAGGCCGAAAAGGAGACAGTAAAGAAAAAGATCGATCCAAGGACACAGCACAACCAGGCCGAAAAGGAGACAGTAAAGAAAAAGATCGATCCAAGAACACAGCACAACCAGGCGAAAAGGAGACAGTAAAGAAAAAGATCGATCCAAGAACACAGCACAACCAGGCGAAAAGGAGACAGTAAAGAAAAAGATCGATCCAAGAACACAGCACAACCAGGCGAAAAGGAGACAGTAAAGAAAAAGATCGATCCAAGAACACAGCACAACCAGGCGAAAAGGAGACAGTAAAGAAAAAGATCGATCCAAGGACACAGCACAACCAGGCGAAAAGGAGACAGTAAAGAAAAAGATCGATCCAAGGACACAGCACAACCAGGCGAAAAGGAGACAGTAAAGAAAAAAAGATCGATCCAAGGACACAGCACAACCAGGCGAAAAGGAGACAGTAAAGAAAAAGATCGATCCAAGGACACAGCACAACCAGGCCGAAAAGGAGACAGTAAAGAAAAAGATCGATCCAAGGACACAGCACAACCAGGCCGAAAAGGAGACAGTAAAGAAAAAGATCGATCCAAGGACACAGCACAACCAGGCCGAAAAGGAGACAGTAAAGAAAAAACTCAATCCAAGAACACAGCACAACCAGACCGAAAGGAAGACAGTGAAGAAAAAGATCGATCTATGTACACAGCACAACCAGATCAAAAAGACAATAAAGGAAAGAAAAAGATTGATCCAAGAACACGGAATGACCAGACCGAAAAGAAGAAAAGGTAAAGAAAAAGATCTATCCAAGACAATGCACGACCAGCCCGAAAAGACAGTAATGAAAAAGATTGATCCAAGAACACGATTCGACTAGACCAAAAAGAAGACAATAAAGAAAAAAGTAAAGAAAAAGATTGAGCCAAGAACACAGCATGACCAGACCGAAAAGAAGACAAAGAAAAATTAAAGAAAAAGAATCTATCTAAGAACGTGGCACGACCATACTGAAAAGAAGACAATAAAGGAAAAAAGTAAAGAAAAAGATCAATCCAAAAACAAGGCACAACTACACCGAAAAGATGATATTAAAGAAAAAGATCAATCCAAGAACACGGCATGACCAGACAGAATAGAAGACAGTAAAGAAAAACATCGATCCAAGAACACAATATGACCATACCAAAAAGAAGACAATGAAGAAAAAAAATAAAGAAAAAGATTGATCCAAGAACACAGTACCGAAAAGAAGACAATAAAGAAAAATATCGATCCAAGAACATGGCATAACTAAACTGAAAAGACAAAGAAAAAAGTAAAGAAAGATTGATCCAAGAACCCAGAACACAGCGCAACCAATTTGAAAAGACAAGATGGAAGAAAAGAGTAAAGAATTAAAGAACAATTTGTAAATTTGAGTGAAAGAACCAATGAACTTTAGTCATTTTTTGACTATAAGGTTCTGAAACTCCACGAACCCTTTTCAAGTCATGTGACAGGTAATACACTCCTTGGTTTCCTTGGAGATTTCTCATGTTATTTTTGCACTTTTCCTATAGTAATTTTTTTTAAGTTGTTGTGATAATTAGAACTTGTCAAATTGTCTCTTTTCCTGTATCGATGGTTAGTTAGGCAAGCAAAGATGAGCTAGCATGGATCAGACATTGGACCTGAGCATTCAGTATATAAAGGGGACACAGGAAATTGAAAAAGTGGTTAACAGTGATAGAGAAAAAAGGAGCTGTCTGAAGTAGAGACAGTAGTATTGGTGTATGATGCAACTGAGGGTCCGGTCTTGGAGGGGGGGGGCACCTAATGAGGAACCCTAGATTAACATATGATAACCTAGAGAACCTATTGATAAAAGAATATGCACATGAGGGAACAACGGTAGAGGCTATGAGGAGCCTCATGAATCTCATTAGGAAATACAGCCCTGAAAAGGAGGAAATGGCTTTGTGTCAGACAGTAGTGAAAGGAGAAGAGATTATGCCTATTATGTTGACCAGTTGGGCTAACAAGATGGTAAAAATATCAAAGGGAGGGGTGGTAGGGAAGATTGTACCAATAAGGTCTATTATAATAGACCAATAAGGGTAAAACAAGTAACTGCTAACTGAGCCTGAATTAGAGCATTCTCCCTCACTTCCTCAGGGAAGGCCCAGGCCAACACTTTGATGGCTTTTGTTCCCAACTCTCCTGGAGTTTTGTTGTTTGCCTGGGCAAGATTCATAAGGCTCCTCATGGCCTCTACTGCTGTTCTCACATAGCTCATCTATTATAATACACCAATAAATATGATGAGCAGAGTCAAGTAGAAGTGTGAGAAGAGATAATAGCCTGAGAAATTTAAGGCCAGAATAGGATGACTGCTGAGAGCCAAAAGAGATGTAGTGACTAACTCTGATAAGGAGTTGGGACATAAAAACACAGTGAGGATGAAGATCGATACCGATGAACAAACACAGATCAAATTAAAACCATATAGGACACCCATCCAGAAGAGACTACTGGTGGAGGGAGCAGTTAGAGACATGTTAGAATTGGGATAGTTGAGAAGTCTGAGTCTCTCTAGAGTTTCCTCATTATGATAGTGGATAAGAAGGATGGGGTATACAGATTCTGTGTCAACTTTAGAAAGTTGAATGCTATCTCAAAACCACTGGCAGTGCCTCTTCTGTTGATAGATGACATCTTGCCCTTCTGGGAAGGGCTAAATACTTTTCAACAATAGATTTGAGGTCAGGTTATTGGTAGGTGGCCCTTGATGCAGACCATGAAAAAGCGGCATTTGCTTGCCATATGAAGTTATTTCAGTTCAGGGACCTGCCATTTGGCCTGGCCAATGCCATGGATATTTTCCAGCTTCTGATGTCAGTAGTAGTGAGCAAAATGAAGAGCTTTGTTATTTGGACAACATCTTAGTGTCCTCCAAGACACTTGAAGAGCATTTCAACCACATAAAATACTTGTTGGTCCATGCCTCTTTAACTGGCCTAAGATTGAAAATGATGAAATGTCAGTACTTGGGTTTTGTCATAAATGGGGATGGGATTAAGCTCAATATGGACAAAGTAGAAGTGATAAAGCAATGCTTGCCTATGATTCCTATGAAACTCCTTACCTGTCTTAGACTCAGGCATTGCTTTTATCACTTCTACTTTGTCCATATTGAGCTTAATCTCATCCCCATTTATGATAAAACCCAAGTACTTCATCTTCAAAGGTTTATCCTGGAATTTTCAAGACTGGCTACCCCTTGATAGCATTGACTAAGAAATATGCACAATTCAAATGGATAGATTGTCAGAGAGCATTTGACGGTGATACCTTTATTGACATATCCAGATCTCGGCAAACTGATGATCCTGTAAACAAATGTTAGTGATCAATGTATTGGTGCAGTCCTTACTCAGCCATGCCCAGACAAGGATAGCCCAGTGCCTGGTATACCAGAAGTACCAGTATACTTCTTGTCCTATAGGCTCTCTGCAGCACAACAGAGATGGCCAGTAATTGAGAAGGAGGCATATGCCATTATGTATGTCCCACAGAAATTAGAGTATTACCCGAATGGAGTTGTGTTTACCATTTAAGACTGACCAGAAGCCACTCCAATATTTGCTAGAAGCTGAGTAGACTAACAAAAAGATTCAGCAGTGAAATTAAGTAGGTACAATTGTAAAATTAAGTATTTGGCAGGAAAGGACGGTACATGTGTGGATTTGTTGTCAAGAATTCCAAAACAGTTGGAAGCAGAATTGGTGAGATTGGAGCCAGGGGTAGACAACAAAACTTACCAGATACAAGCGATCAATTCACATAAAGACCATCCTATATTAGAAACTGAGACAGAGGGGACCTCACTGATCTTTACTGGAGAGATACAATGAGAGAGGGTCAGGACAACAGTGAGATAGCTACCCTCAGAGTGAAAAAACAGGCAGGTGACACCTCTCAGCATGTAGTGCATGAAAAGATGCTATATTACCTCTTAGGAAGGGATGAAGAAATAAGGCTCAGACTGTGTACCAAGATATTGGAGCAGTACCCTGAGAAAATGGGCAACATGGAAATTGATAAGATCTATAATCTAATAGGTAGAAATTATTATTGGTCAAGGCTGTACAATGAGGTTACCAGCTATGTACAAGGTTGTGTGATGTGTCAAGCCCAGAGCAGGAGGCAAGGGACAGCTTCATTGATGGAGACAGATGTCCCCAACAGCCCCTTTGAAAAAAGTGAATGTGGATATGTCAGGCCCATAAAGAAAGACTCCAAGAGGAAAATTATACATAGTGAGTTTTGTAGATTGGTTAACAAATTAGCCCGAGACATATGCATCACCTGATAAGCAAGCTCAGACAATGTCTGATTTCATACTGAGACATTTCCTCAATTTAGAGCCCCAGTGCAGCTGGTCACAAACAATAGATTAGAGAATGTGAATAAGATAATGACTAAAGTGTTGGAGAGCATGAATACACTGCATGTGACTACTTCCCCACACCACCCACAGAGTAATGCAAAACAAGAATGGTTTCATAGTATCTTAGAAGACATATTGGCTAAAGATAATGCCAATAATTGGAATTTGTATTTGTTGCAGGCTTTGGCGGCAATGAGGTTCTCTATACATGAAACCTCTAGGTTCTCATCATATTCTATGCTGTTTGGACAAGATGTGGTCTTACCAGAAAATACTTATTAAGACCTTGTAGAAAATACATGGGAGAGGACTACCATAAGTTAATAATAGAACAGCAACATAAGATATTCATACAGGCCAAGAGGAGGATTAGATGGTCACAAAAGAGAAATGAGAGGGTGAATAAAGGCAGAAACAAGGTAGTTGGAAATTCTGTATTCTACAAAATCCATTTGAGGGAAGGAAAATTGGATCAGAGGTGGGATCCTATTACAGAATAGTGGAATGGACAGGGCCAGTATCATTTATAATCTGGGATCAGATGACAGGAAGAGTTAAGAGGGTTCACGCTACCAATCTAAAATTAGCTGAGGTAGATGGTTGGTAAGGAACTGAACCAAAGAGAAAGATGAGAAGAATGGCGGAGCCAGAGGAAATGGAAACAGATAAAGAATCTGAGGAGGAAGAAAAGAAGGGTTATGAATCAACCACTAGTTGATAAGAATATAAGAAAAATGGGGATTGTCAATAAATAAGCATAAAGCAGAGGACTCTTGATGAAGTCCAGGGTTCTATCAGGTCATCCTATAAGTTCTGTCCAAATTTTAACTTTTTGTTATAATGAACGAAATTTAAAGAGTATTTTATAATGTCTAATGGAGCTGAACATTATTTTTATGTTTAGATGCATTTAAACTGATCAAATTTTATTTCAGAGAAAAATAAAATTAAATTTTGTTTGATTAAAACCCTGCTAACATGGAAGTACCCAAGAATCATTTGAGGCACATAATGCTTTATGAGTTCAAGAAAGGAAACTCACTAGCCGAAGCGGCTAGAAGCATTCACTCAGTTTATGGAGGGGAATGTGTGAATGAAAGAACTTGCAGAAGATGGTTTGCAAAATTCAGAGGTGGAGATTTCACCCTTGAAGATGAAGATTGAACCGGACGTCCAGTTGAGTTTGATGAAAAGCTTCTTGAAGCAGCCCTTGAAGAAAATCCTGCTTTATCAGTTGAGGAATTGGCAGTGGTTCTCAGTTCAAACTATACAATTGTTCATCGTCATCTTCAACAACTTGGAAAAGTTCCTAAACTTGGAAAATGGGTGCCTCATGAATTGTCTGAAAGCAACCTCAAATCCCGAGTTGACATCTGCTCTTCTCGCCAACTTGTTTCATCTTTTTTGGATAGACTTGTGACTGCCAACGAAAAATGGATCTTTTATTGAAATGTTAAGCGTCGTAGATAGTGGCTTGGTAAAGGCGAAGGACCCCAGCCACAGCCGAGAAGGGAACTTCATGGGCAAAAGGTTCTTCTTTCAATCTGGTGGGATCGCCAAGGAATAATCCACTTTGAATTCTTACCACCTAATGCAACAATTAATGCTCAAATATACTGTCAGCAATTAGAGCGTTTGAACCAAGTTTTGAGGGGAAAAAAAGACCTGCTCTAGTGAATCGAAAAGAGGTGATGTTTCATCAGGACAATGCGCAACCCCACACAGCAAGAATCACGTCACAAAAGATAGAAGAACTTGTTTGGGAGAAAATTCCTTATCCACCTTATTCTCCCGATCTTGCTCCTTCAGACTACCATTTGCTTCATAGCTTACAGAATCATTTGGAAGAAACAG